TTGATCTTCAACTCGACAGTCCATTCACTGCAGATCCCTCAAACTCATTCAAACAGTTTCCCCATGATTCCACTCCATTATATTGTTCAAGCATCATTGGCCTCTTCACACCAATTTCCCCATCTCCTCATACTATGTCTTCATCATGTGGCTTCCATCTGCTCATTGAACCGTTGAAAACTCTTCTATCCTATTGCTGCCATTAATGTCACGTTATCGAAATCACAATATAAGAGCTATTTCAATTGTGGCTAAATTCTCCATGGTCTCGATGCCGTAAAGTGTTACCGAATTTGGAAATACAAGAGAAAGAAAGTGGCGAAATTAAGAGATAAGGCTGAGGAATCGATCTATGATGAAACCAGTTAGGGACCAGCCTATTCTAGCGGGTAGGGCTTGGGATGTCATCGAAATAAATAAATTGTTCCCGAAAAGTCTTGAAACAAATAAATATACTTCAGACTTTTGAAAAAAAGAGAAATTGTCTGCCACAAAAATATATTGTTCTAAGCTGCATTTCTGAAAACAACTCATGCAGACTCATAGTTTTAATTAGGAACAGTCTGGTTTGCAGCTGTAGCCGAACAAGTAACTAATCTCCACACAGAATCCGGACACCCAAGAATATCAAATGGTCGGTTCATTTTGGATCACCCTATCATGACAATAACAACATGTGATCATGGTCTGGTACATCACTAACATATCAGAATGGAATCTCAGGCCACACGATGGGCAAGCAAGGCTCGAGCAACAGGTCCTGTCACTGTTAAGCAAGAAGTGCATGCTTTGCAGCCTTGGGAACAAAACTTTAACGAACATGGACTTTCCAGTTAGATGTGTATTCAGGGCATGGACTAATGTGCAGTAAAGTTGACATGAATATCAAATATCGTGCTCGGTTAATTGTATTGACTTTTGATGGTACAAGATGTGCATGTAAGTCATTCGGAGCTTTGATCATCGCATGATGTCACATGACGACTCGAAGCACGTTTGCACGTTTGGTTCTCTCTCTTGTAAGTTGTAAAAAAATCTAATATTTCATCTGACATTACATCAACACCAGCTTTTTGTGTGAAGATCAGTTATCACCCCTAATTCCCAGCTTAGGCCTATCTCGGAAGCTTGAACACTGTTATCGATAGGTGAAGATTATAACTACTGAACTTTTAGCTATCACTACTGCCATCATATTGTGTATTTGAGACTGCCATTGAATATTGTACTACCACTCTATTGCATACTACCTTTGTCATTGCAGTGCAGTAATTTGTAAACCTAGTTTATTTTGTAATACATTTGTTGATTGTATACCATTTGTTGGTTGTTTGTTGGTTCACACATAATTCTTTTATGTACAGATTTCTGGGTTGACATATTATTACAATTTTGGAATCGACACGTGAAATTTGCATGAAAGTTATAATTGACATCCTCCAAATATTTAAAACAAATATGTCCAATAGTTCTGCGGGAGATGCGGTTGGGGTAAGATTGCACATGTGTGTGATGGCGGGCATTCTGAATGCTTGGAACTCAATAGAATAGAATCTCTAATAAATAGAATAGAGGGTATGAGAGTTGTTTCAAGAATGAAATCTCTTTACAGTGAGGATGTGGAAGACATATTGGACATTCAACTGATTTCACTCCCTCTAATAAAAGGAGAGTACACTTTACAATTCAGATTCATAAGCACATACTTATGAATCACTATGAAACGATACATCATTACGTTTTCTAAATAAATCTGCTTTGCCAGTGACATGCAGAACATATTATGGGAATGTAGTATTTATATAAGCTGTAGTTTGGAAAAGAACGACTTGTAAGTTCGAAGCTAATGGGCGGATAGAAGACAAAGTTCACTTTGACGTTAGGGAATTAATTTATAATTAGAAGACACGAACGAGGAATTATGTGTGTTCATCATACTCGTAGTATTAGCGTTGTAAATCACCAAGGTAGTTTTAAACTATGACATTCTAACTTTATCTGAATGTATATGTACTTAAAATATTCCGTCTTATTTCTCACAAACACCTTGATGTTGCCAAGTTTTATTAGCTACTAAATGGTAGCATAGAGGATAATGGTTTTTCGTCATGTAGCATAGAGAATCTCACCCGAGTGTCTTGTAATATCAAGTGTTGATATATTTGATGTCAAAAGACACAAGGGTGGGATTTTATTTATCATCCAACATTATTCTTCCAACTTTTTCAGTTTGTAGACAGTAATACTCAGCGTCTTAAGTGTAAAAAGTACTGCTAACACCATCAGTAGCAGAGCCATTAGTGATGTCATTTGATTGCGACGTCATGGTAACCAATGACATCACAGTGGTCTGCAAAGCATCGTGAAGCAACTTCATTGCAGCGATATCTTCAATGTAGATTTTGTTTAATGTCAGCCAAACGATATCTCCCGTGGGAGCCAGTTTTGGATGATAAAGAATTATCTTGGACTACAGACATTTTCTTTGGATGAGACACGCATGCCGCTCGTCAGTTGCTGGACCCCTAATCTTTAAATAGATTGGTTGCACTTGACATCGCCGCTCACATTCAAGATGGCCTCAGATAAAAAAGATGAAATGTTTTTTGGATGGAGAGGCACAGGCACTTCCTACATATGGTAGGGCTCTCGGATCCCCCTCCCGCACCCTCGCACCCCCTCTCACACTCACAGGCGACCCGTGAAGATTCCGGGGTAGAATAGGTCTTCAGCAACCCATGCTTGCCGTAAAAGGCGACTCTGCTTGTCGTATAAGGCGACTAACGGGATCAGGTGGTCAGGCTCGCTGACTTGGTTGATGCATGTCATCGATCCCAATTGCGTGGATCGATGCTCATGATATCAAGCACTGGATTTACAGACCGCCGTCATATAGCTGGAATATTGCTGAGTGCGGCGTTAAACAACAAACAAGCAAACAAACAAAAAAACACCCACAGGCCTGGGACCCATCCGGAACATGTCACATCTACTTTCACCAATAAACGACAGTATTATCTTGTCTTAAAATGGGAATAAAAGCAAAATGCAATATGTTTGATGATTTGATTGTTTGTAGGTTATTATCTGTTACTTTGATTCACATCGACAAAAGCTCACTTAAGGAAATGGTCTTTGATATTCAATAAGTGAATGAGTTATATCACGGCGTGTCAGCTTGATACAGATGGAAAGCCCGAAGTGATGCAGGTCGTAGATGTTCACCAATTCAGTGAAACTCACGAGCAAGCCATAAACATGAGCAAGCCGACTCAAATAGCGGCAGCCGCATTTTAAATCTTTGGTTTCCGAGATAAATCTGACATTGACAGGTAGGAACTTCGATGGGTGGATTGATGGATGGACCTATAGATAGATATGGATAAGGATGTTACCTAGCACATATACATCTCAATCTTGAACAGTGTTTGCTAGGGATCCCGACACTGGAGAGCTGGCGATCTAAGACATTCGAAAGGAAGCGGATTCCACTGATGTGCTTTATCTCCTTGTGCTGTTTTCATCTATGAGGAAGGTGTGTATTGATACAGACAAATTCACAACTGTCAAAGAAACCGATCTGAAGAACGATGACGTTATTATCTGTGCGTGGTAGGTACACGGTATGTCCCGCAATTAGTGAACGAATGATATTTAACGCCGCAGACTGCACCATTCCAGCTACATCCGGCTACAACAGGAGCAAATCTAAAACAGACAAACCCCTGACTGAGAGCTCACGATGCACGCCATCCACGCCTTCTGGGAAAGATGGAAATCACACAAAGTCCTACCACCCTATTCCCATTTCAGACGGGTCTTACGAGAAGCATGATGTACTGAGGACTTTGCTCTCAGACCTCCTCACGAGGATGTCCCGAACTGATATAACTCCAGTGGTAGACGTTTACCTCTATCACGTTTCACTGAGGCCAGGTATGGAGCTAAGGCGAATCTGTGATAGAAGCTCCGATCAGCGGATCCTGGAACGGCTAAGGGATAAAACTCATAAGAACGAGGTGCAGCCTCTTAGTTCGCAGGGCCCACCGTCCTCCAAGATTATCCTCCAAGGAATAAGTTTTAATATGCTAATACTGTAACATAACCATTATGTTCTTGTGATCTTCAAAATTAACAACATTCAGAAGGCTATGCATATGCTACTTCTGGTGTGATCCTATTATTATGCAAAGAACAGTACAAAAACGTAAATTACGGTACATAATGATAAACAATATGCATGATAATTATGAGAAATGTTTACAAAAACACAAATCACGTTTGCAGTCAGAACTGATCACATTCAACCTACTCGAGACAATGCATCAGGAATAGTGTTGCATTTATCTTTGATTTGCTTGATATCTAAATCAAAGTCTTGCAAAGACAGGCTGTAGCGCATTAGGCGTTGGTTTTTGTTCTTCATTTAGCAAAGAGTGTTCTCACTTTGTTCAAACTTTCTTTCGCCGACGGGGAGAGTGAACCTTTCGTTTCATCTTGGGAATCAACTGGTAACAATATGTTAAGTGTCATTGTGATATAAAAATAGATCTTGTACATTTAAACACGTTCTACACATGCTGTACGTCGTGTTGCAGTCAGATGACCAATAAGAAAACTAAATTTCCTGTTTGAAATTAATTTGTCATGTATATCAATTGTGCTTATTGCATTCAATTATTTTCTACACATTGACACCCCCTTTACACTATCTGTTTGGTCATGTATGCCAACGAAGTTTTAAAATGATCATTAGAAATTACACTTTAAGCCAAATCTCGAGCTTTCAATTAAGCTTCAAATCTGTTTCATTGACAACATGATTTTCACCCTAAGATGAAAAAAGGAAATACTTAAAATATTATTTCTGGATTTATTATGTCTTCATAAACACATTGATGTGGTTAAAGTTAACATATAAATATGGAGGAAATTCGTTTTGTCAAGTGACTTTTTTATCTCGTGACCTGAGACCACTGACACAATCTTTGGATGAGACAAGCACACCTGACCTAGTGTGGCTTATCACTTACGTAACCTGGAAGCTTTCAATACATTACTGCACTGAACAACACCACTGACATTCAACATGGCCACAGAAAAGTCTGTCATGTAAGTTTTTTGTGAAGATCATAGTTTTCTGAATTATTTCTCAGAACTACCTTTTGTACAAGTTTGTGCTTATTGACAAAGTATTTGCGTTATTACCTCTTTAAGGCACTCCTTGTGCATAGACGGGATTCGTTCTCCAACACGACCGCTGGGTCATTGTGATCTGTATCAACATGGGCTTATTTCACAGGCTTCTTCACTGTTATTGCAAGGCCTGTGTACAGAAGGACAAACTTTGCCGGGACACGTCAGGCCCGGCCTCATGCTAACATGTGTTTATGTTCTGACACTCCATTGACGACGCCACATATCGCGCCAGGACGCCTGGCAGTTAGGTTACAATGTTGTCAGCTACAAAATAAGAACGTTGTTGAGGTACTCACATCGACTTTCCCCAACAAGCGACAATATAATCATGTCTTTAAAATGGGAATGACAACAAAATGTAATATCTTTTATGATTTGATTGTTTGTAGATCAGTTACATTGTTTCACGTCGACAATAGTTGACGTAAGGATACATATACAAGAATGATCTTTGATACTCAATAAGTGTGTTTGGTCTAACGCCACCTTGAACGATGTTTCAGTTATATCACCTTGATATGGGTTTCTGGCACAGGGGGGACGGGACTCAAATACTGGCAGCTTCGATTTTAGTGTGTTTTTTCTTCACAATAAATAGACATTGGCAGGTAGGTTTTGAGGTAGGTAGGTACATTGGTGGTAGGTATGTAGGCATGTAGAAAAGTCGATTGGTGTTTTGACGGATGGATGGATACATAAACAGATATGGATAAGTATGTTACCTACGGGACGGGACGAAATTATCGGCGGCCTCAATTTTAGTGATTTGTCTGCATGATATATCTGTTATTGACAGGTTGGTAGCAGGGTAGTGAGGTAGCTTTGTGGGTAGGTAGACAGGTAGGTAGGTAGGTTGATGGATGGATGGGTATATAGATAAGGATGTTATCTAGCACAGTAAATACATATCTTGACCATGAACGGTGTTTTCCAGGGTTCCCGACACTAGAGTGCTGCTCGATCTGAAAAATTCGAAAGGACACGGGTTCTACTGTTTCAAGTATGATGAACTCTACCTCTATGCGCTGCGTCCATCCATGTTGAAGGGGAGTAACAATAAAGACAAAATCAAAAGTATCAAAGAAGCTGAACTAAAGGATGATGACATCATTATCTGTGCGTATCCCAAATGTGGTAGGTACACGGTATGCCCCGCAATGAGTGAATGAATATTATTTAACGCCGCAGCCCTCACAATTCCAGCTGCATCACAGCCACACCAGAAATCTAAATAAATGTAAAAAACCCTTTCGATATTGATAAGAAATATCTGCTAAAAGGAGAATCGAGTATACGATTCCGCCTATACAATGAGCATATGTTTATGAAGGACTATTTATAGTGATGACACCAGGTGTTCGCGGAAAGGTCAGCGTATCCTGCCCCCCGGTGGCACCCGTCACAAACACATGCAAAGGCAAGTCAGTTGTTCACCTAAAAAAAACTGGGAAGATATGGAAGTCATCTGGTAGTGAATCGTTATGCATAGATCTAAGTATGAAACAGCTGAAACCTCTGACTGAGAGCAACACGCCATCAGGGTAAGATGAAAATCACACCAAGCCTTACCACCCTATCCCCATTTCAGACGGGCCTTAATTACAACTAGCATGATGTACTGAGGACTTTTCCTACCCCGAGCTCAAGTAACACTGGATTCATTCGAGACGTCCCTAGAGACGTCCCTAGCGTTGGTTTAACGCTGCTTTGACTTGCATCTCAGTGATATCACAGGGTGTCAGCTGAATGGCGGAGCAATGCCCGATTTAACGCCAGTGATAGACGTTTACAATCCCAATCCCCCACACACCCATACACGCAGATATTTCCTTTAGATCACCTGGATGGGACAAGGGAGATCTAATGTTTTCCAAATCCATCAAGCTGAATGTTCCTAGACATGTTATATGTTGTGAACACACAATGCCATTTAAAAAGTGGTCAAATGTAGCAAGTGATATTTTTGTAGAATACAGATTCGAGAACCTTTTTGGGTGGTTGAGTCCCATCCGGGATTCGAACCCACACTGCCATTTGCGATTAGGTGCCTCACTCTGTGGGGTCGAATCCCGGATGGGACTAGAACCCCCAAAAGTACTAGTATCTCTACTCAACTAAGCAAGTGTTATCCCAAATATATAACATTTGTTACGTCATCTGTTACATAGAAAACCTTTCATATTTTGATACAACTAAAAAAATGATGTTCCAATTGAAGTTACATTTTGTTTAGAAAGATTGAGTGTAAATTACTGTTTTAGGAACCCATTGGCTGTGGGAAGTCATCGAGATGGTAAAGAGTGGGACCATCCAGTACCAGAAGGATGTGAAAGAGACCCGGATGATGGAATTCATCTTCAAAGATGGAATAGAAGCAGTGGCGCCTCCACGGGTCTTCAACACCCACCTCCCTCTGCGCATGCTCCCTACACAGGTCGTGGAGAGGAAGGTCAAGTGTATTCAGATCATGCGCAACCCTAAAGATGCCTGTGTGTCCTTTTTCAACCACTGCAGAGATATGGAGAAACCGTATGGCTATGATGGAGACTTCGCGGAGTTTACAGAAGCGTTTTTGTCAGGGAAAAGTAAGTACAGCGAGTGGTTGATCACAGTCAATACTTCACGGTCCTATGTACACAACATCCCTCCATCAACTTTGAATACATATTGCCACTTTGTGGAGTAGTCGCTGTGTTAAACCAACGAATCAGGCAAAGGCCTGGCTCCAATATGAGGGAAGCCAACGAGTGTTCCCACCAATGACTTCTCAGATAATATCGCACAAACGGTAATGTTTCTCGCTTGGCAACGTCTGCAACACGTGCCATAGCCTTGTGGTCATCTGGCCGCCTCCTCGGTCTAGATGATAGAGCGTCTGACCATAGAGCAGGAGGTAGGTGGTTCGATCCCCAGGCGGGTTATGTCAAAAGACCTTAAGAGTTAGTACTTGTTGTTACCCTCCCCAGCGCTCGTCATTAAGGAGATAAGACAAGTACTGATAGGCTCGGAGTAAGTAAACTGTGTCTAAGTGCGATATCCATGTTCAACTGCGGCATTATTTCTCAGTGTGCTCTAAGTACAGTCACACACACATGCGCTTGCACGTTGCCATATAACTGCAATAATCTCGAACGCGACGGGGTCCAATTCTGGTCATCTGCTCTACCTCAATGCTTCAATGTGAGGCAGGGTTCGCACAGTGTCTATGCACGGAGAATATACATATGCTCGTCATGCAAAGGGCCCAGATTCTATTCCCAACATGCCGTGATATGCTAAAAATTGCGAAAAGCAGGGGTCCGACTGTACCATAGGTGATAGTGGCATACAACTCCAGCTGCCTTCATATCCTGATTATAGGAACCACTGATGCCACTTTAACGGTCATCTTGTATACGACTCCGCACAGTGAAACCATGATTACCAGAACATCACCATAATGAGTTATCGTTTCAGTTAAGTTAATGTAACTATATTCTTCCTTTCCAACCTTTGACGGGACTTTTGTCTGTTTGCAAACACTGGTGTCATCAATATTTTATAGTGACTGACTGACTGAGTATGGTTTTACGACGCTTTTAGCAATATTCCAGTAATATCACGGTGGGGGACACCAGAAATGGGCTTCGCACAGTTTACCCACGTCGGGAATCGAACCCGGGTCTTCGGCGTGACGAGCGAACGTTTTAACAACGAGGCCACCCGGTCGCCCCTATTTTGTAGTGATTCATAAAGACATGCTTTTGAAAGAGTCGCAATCGTGGAACGGATTCTCATTTTAGCTGAGATTTCTTATGATTAAGGAAAGGCTGTTTGTCGCTTTCGATTTATATCAGCACAACGAACTACTTATAACTCGATAGTGTTTGATGACCTTCCATGGCCTTTTATCATGACCTACAACAACGCCAGTGCGACGACGTTAAACGAGGGCAATGGATCCTGTGCTTCTTGCAACGCTCATGACCTTGTTCCCTTCCTGAGGCAGGGTCGAACTCGTATTCACAAACATGTCGATGTCCAGCCCATAAGGGGTCACGACATACAATGCGATCTTAGCAGAACGACTATCGCTAGTCTGGGTTAAGATATGGGAGATATAGACAGGAACTTGACGTTATTGTCAACGGTTTCGTTTATACGGCATATTGTTTCAAGTTTATCTTCATTCATTTTCAGTGCCGTTTGGATCCTATTCCACCTATCTTCTAGCGTGGAAAGCTGAAGTGGCAGCTTCGCCAGAATTACCTGTCCTTAATTTGTTTTATGAGGACATGAAATTTGTGAGTATTGAACAACAGAAGGCTTTTTCTATAAGCTTCAGACCTATATGGATAGCATTGATGACCAAATAACCTATAGAATTAACCTTCATACACATTTAAGGTTACCATGTTGTTCCAAGTCCTGTCCCGTTAATATAATAGTATTTTGAGTGAAGCCCTGTTTAGAGATCCGGGCTAGAATTGGTCTTGGTCTTCACCAACGCATGCTCATCGCACAGAATTGCACGAATGAACGGAACTATAATCATTTCAACCTTGGCGAGGCCCCTAAAAATTGTAATACCACTACTTCCAGGACCCTGTCAAGACTGTTAAAGACATCGCCAAGTTTCTAAGTCTGACGAGTACAGACCAGTTCTGTGAAGAGGTTGCGCTTGCTTGTTCCTTTAAGAAGATGAAAACAGTTGACGAGGAAATGAAAGTTGAACTTCCCATAAAGCTATGGAAAGATGGCACCAAAGGGACGTTCTACAGGAAAGGTACAACACGTCCCACTTAAATTCTGGAAACCCCGGACAACAGATCAATTAGCATTCCAAAAGGCATTCTCAGCTCCCTGTGAGGTATACAACCTAATTTTGCCTGTACGTCAGATCCTTGGATCCAAGACAAAACTTATCATCAAGCGTTCCTGGTGTGGATTCGTGCACATTTTTAATTGCCTAAGGCTAATTTCACAATGGTGGTGACTCGTGGTCCTTGTTGTATTTAGTGCACAGGTCATAAATAAGTTAAGCAACGCTGACTGGGCTGAGCATATTGTTGGGTGACCACAGTCGGCAAGAGCTTCGGCCCTGTCCCACAATGAAACACAGGCCATTTAATCTGTAGTGTCTCATGTGACGACATGGGCCTTCCGAGTAAACAGGGTCGGTGGTGAAACCTGTGCAGCAGACAATGACTGGATAATTGGCCATATCAATACAATAGATCCATAATGAAGGACTCGAGACATTAAATATAAAAATATAGGAGTTAATGTGGTTTCAAATACTGTCATCCACTTGAGTTGACTTGACATTAATTAAGATTTAACTTTTTTGTTTACGTTTATGAACATATAAACGCAAAGTGTGCACACAAGAAAACATATTGCAGTTAATTCTTATAAATTAATGCGTCAACAATGATAACTTCACAGAACTATTTATGTAATCATGAACATAAAAGAAATCTGTTGACAGCAAAAAGAATTCATCGACATCGTTCAGCGCAATAATACAAGCAACCCGCACCCTTTCGACATGAACAAATCAAGGGGAAAAAGTCCATTCGTGGGTGTGGCCTAATTCTTTCCGGTTTGAGTAAACAAAACATAAAACAATTGCTTGGTTAGGCAATTAATTGTCACGGAACCCCCAGCATTATATGTATTTAACAATAATTGCCCGTATTGTATCCATAGTTTAGGTCATTGAATTTAGCTGATACAGCATGAGTAAAATGCCATTGAGTGTAAATGTCAACGTTAGAACGCTGGAATATCCGCTGCATTTACACATTGTTTAGGAGAGGTACAAACTGTAGTTTTACCTCGGAAATGGCACCAACATAGCACGTCAAATCTATGAAATACTGTTACGACATTCTCGACCATTGAAAAAGAGCTCAATGTGCAAAAAGTTCGAGATCGCAAGAACACAAGATTTTAACTTCTTGCGTTCTTGGGATCTGGCATAGCGTGTTTTGTACTACAATGTGACATTTAGACACGAAGAAAAAGCTGGACTTGTCAAATCAGGACACAAAACACGAAATGACCTGAAAATATGATTCTTGCGTTTTAGACGCTGTCCGCGTGGATGCGTCATACCATGTGGTCAACGCGCATGCTCTCCTTATTATCCCGATGAGAATAGTACTCTCTCGAACTTATTCTCCCTTGTGGTGGCAGTGGTAATGGTAGTGGTGGTGGTGGTAGTAGTGGTAGTGGTCCATTTATACTGCGCCAGATTCCATTCACCCATTCGCTACATAGGTTTAGCAAGTATTGCTAATGAAAGGGGAGTAGAGTTGATAGCGTTGTCTGAAAAGGTGTGTTTTCAGATGAGCCTTAAATGATGAAAGCGATAGCGACAGCTTGAGATCAGATGGAAGTTTGTTCCATAGCGAGAAGCGCAGAACTGGAAAGATCTCTGACCAAAGATTTTGAGACGGGTTTCCGGAACTTGTAACAGGTGGTAGAAGTAGTAGTAGTAGTAGTGGTGGTGATGGTGGTGGTGGTGGTGGTGTTATTTTCAACACCCGTAAATCAAATGTTTCAGTATTATTGTCATCATGGTATACTCATGCATTATCAAGATTTTTGTGTTACAGATTTCACTAACGTGCAGTGTATTTGTAGTCTATTAATATGCTTCCATAATCCGGCTCATTGACAGATGTATGGATGTTTAAAGTACGCTGACTTTGATACATTCGTTTCTCTGTTTCAGGTGAGATCGGGGACTGGAAGAATTGGTTCACTGTGGCAGAAAACGAGAAATTTGATCAAATATGGAACGAGCAGATGAAGGATTCTGGGTTCGAGTTTACCTATGCACCGGTGTGAGGTCATACCAAATACATGGGTTTCATGTGAACCGGTATCTAGTGAATGTATGATACTCAAGAAGCTGAGTGTACAGTGACAATTTGCTTCATAAAACACTTCGCAGAAGTACAGAGGATTATCCGCGGATATTTACAAACGTAATTGTCCCAACATTTACCGCCCTCCTAATCCAACATTATAGCATTTCAGGACGACTTATATATCCAAGGGAAGATGCCAGGACATATTTTATCTTTATTCCCTGTCCTGGCTTAAGAGTTGATATAGTTAGACTTTATATGTTGTGTACATGTGCAGGACATATTTTATCTTTATTCGCTGTCCTGGCTTAGAGTTGATATAGTTAGACTTTATATGTTGTGTACATGTGCAGGACATATTTTATCTTTATTCCCTGTCCTGGCTTAGAGTTGTTACAGTTAGACTTTATATGTTGTGTACATATGCAGGACATATTTTATCTTTATTCCCTGTCCCGGCTTAGAGGTGATATAGTTAGACTTTATATGTTGTGTACATGTGCAGGACATATTTTCACATTCAGAACCGCTTAGCCAATACATGGCATTTAACAGCAGGTATGTTCCAGTTAGTTTACTTCACGTTGGTAATATCCGGAGTATAGTTTATCCAATAAGTGGATTGTGAATAAAAATAATTGCAAGTGATTTGGTGGCGTTTGATTGGTTACTGTAACACAATTCTTTGTTAGGTCATGCCCACTAATGGACCACTGTTTCCTGATTGGCCGGTAACAGAATGGGCGGAGCTTGTGTTGAATTATTGCGCTGAACGATGTCACTGATTTCGTATTGTTGTCTATGGTGTTTGTGTGTTTATGAATATATGTGTAGTTATTATTGTTGACGTGTTTTTTATGATAATTGACGTCAATATCTTTTTGCGTTTATGGAGTTATAAACATACAAACCGGTGTTCACACATACAGGGTCGCTTATCCGATAAAAGGAATCAAACATTCAGTGTATCTTCCTGTTCCGGGCACAAGACATTGCCAAAGCTGCCATAAATATCATACGGACAAAAAGACAACTGCCAACACTAAACTGTTCAACTCAAGCAATGGTAATATAGGTATAAATATATACAAGCAAGGTATTTTCCGACTTTACTGTATCAGTCTGGTGTATAAAAAACCCGCATAACTGGTTATTTAGTCTTGATGTGGCAGAATAAATTTAAACACTATGATAGTGTGAGCAGAAATATAAGGACTCCCTTGTAAATTAGTATTAGCCTGAAGTTAGAAGCGGGTTCGTCTTGCGTTATTCATTTTTCGAAATAAAAAGCCAGCCATCAGTAGAATCGTTATTCACAGGCTGTATCTAAGTTCATGGGTGAGTGAGGTGGGTTAAACGCCAATTTGAACAGTATTCCAGTTATATCACGGCATGTCAGATTAATGTGGGATGAAAGCCCGAAGTGATGCAGGTCTTGGACGTTTGCCACTTTGGTGAAACCCACGACCACGGGTATTGTGTTGACAAACCTGGATACATAATCGGGATGAACTGGGATTCGAACCCGCGATCATAGATATCTGGCGTGCCCGGGGGACGCAACTCTGCACAGCAAATTTCGGCGCCTTAGACGACTGGGCCACCTATGCACCCGGCTGCATATCAAACAACTACATTCATTTGGTCAAATACACTGAAAGTGTTTAGTTGTGCAGTACTTTTGAATAACGAAACAATGACCAGCACCGGGTTCGTTAGTCAGTTGTTGAAATATAGACTTCTACTTGATAGAATTGTTGGACATGAACTGAATACCCAGCTAGGTGCTGGGTATTATTTCGTTATTCGAAAGTCCTGAATAACTAAGCAGCTTTGGGACGATAATACACCAGCTGCTGTCCGACGAACACTATTACATGAATTTCAGTGTATTTGTTGACACTACTGTAACGTCATTAAGTGACATTTAGAAGTTAGTATTGTGGACAAGGGAGATACTTCTATGAATAGACACATCCTTTATTACAACAATTACGACGTTCCTGTGTTGCTTGATAACATGCCAGTATCACATTCATTGTTATGCAGAAGTTGTGTTGTGTGTGCAGGGGATGGACTGAAGTGCAGTATGAATATCAACCATTGTGTTCCGTTAACTGTTGTATGGACGTGTTATTGTATATAGCGTCTGTGTAGGTAATTAGGTGATTACGATTCATGAAAGTAATGAAAGAGTGAGCTTCACCAGACCACACTGTCAAAGGCTGATTGACACATGTAAATCTAATTGTATAAATTAAGGGACCAACTATTTATTATTCTTGCTGTTTGATATGGGCAGGATATTTTTTCGGTCACTGTTTCAGAACAATAACAGTCCTATTTCAGGGCATACCCAGTATCAAGTAATATCTTTCTTTGTCAAATTGAGGCAGTACTATACTTCACAATAAATATACACAAAGAAAAATGTGAGCGCACCCCCATTTCTGAAAAATGACAAATGGCAAAAATCATGGCATGGGATGACTGACCACAGGAGCTGGGCGATACCAATGTCGTCTGATGGAACGAACATTTGACAACAAATGAAGATACTGGTGAGTTGTTATTGAAATTTACTGACAAAAACATCATGGTAACACAGGTACTGTTTTTGACCTTAGACAATACCTAAGATAAGTATGGAGCTGCAGGATTAAGAAAACGAGTTACGTTTTATTTTGTCATGTGACAATGTTCCTTTAAGTCTCCACTTGACATGACACGTGAAATTGATCAGTAGCAGGTATAACCGCCACGTGCCCGGATGACGCATTCCATTATTCGTCTTATGCCTCCAGTCAGACGTTGGATCTGTTGATGGCTCAACAACAACCACTCCCGATGCAATGCTGCTTCCAATTGCATCCTGTACAGGAGGATCTCGTGCCAGTATGCGCCGCCCCAGAATATCCCAAACATGTTCAAGGGGGTTCAAATCTGGGTTCATTGCTGGCCAGAGTAGAGTCATTGCATTGGCCCTCATGTAATCCACGACTGCATGCGAACGATAAGGTAGCATGAGGGTTGTTGTCAAAATGAGGAACGACGGCTGGCCCGAAAACGTCACTGATGTACTGCGCGGTGACCAAATCCAATCTCCAATCATGAGAGATAACCCCCCCCCCCCCCCCCCCCCCAACCAAACCATTACCGAGCCCCCTCCGTATGCATTAGCCAGTTTGATGTTCATGAGGGTGTAGGCCGGTTTTTTTCTTCCATCAGTGACGTGGAGCAGAAAGCGACTTTCGTCTGACCAAGGGATCCGTCTCCAAGTTCTCAGATTCCAGTTCTGTCGCGCAATACACCATGCTAAACGAGCAGTTTTGTGGTGTTCTCTCAACAAGGGACGCTTTATGACTCATCTAGCCTTCAGTCCTGCTGCTTTCATCCGGTTCCTGACGGTTCTAGTGCTGAAAAGACGATTGGGCAACCACAGCTGTTTCAACCGAGTACTTGTTAAAAAGGGTTCTCGGCGTATGAGACGAAGAAGGTCCCTGTCTTCGCGATGTGTCGTCACAGGATGTCTTCCAGATCTGGGACGGTCCTGTACATCACCGGTCTGAGCGTGTTTCTCGACTAAACGGCTTCAGAAAGTGTGATGATACCCCAAATTCCGACCAATGGCATTACAGGACATTCCTGCGTTATGCGAGTGAGTGAGTATGGCCTTAGCCACTTCTAGCAATATTCCAACAATAGCACGGCGGGGGACACCAGAAATGGGCTTCATGAAGGGTGCAGGGAAACGTTAAAGCAATAACAGGATAATGATTTTCAGCCTTCGGTCATACACGGTCATACATTCTGTACAAACGATCTTATACTTTAGTATAGACGCACTTTCACTGTTTGCTCACATCCTGGATCATTTGTCAGCATATAAATGCAAAGTCTGAGAAAAACTGGAGACTTTTTCTAAAGTCATTCTAAGCCTAATTTGCTGATTAGCCTACAATCAACTGTCAAGTTCTTTAAAAACCTGTCTGAGCTAACTTCATTAGTTGAGTGCTGTACCTTCAAAATTAACCAATCAAACACCAAAGAGATGGCAAGAGCACATATTAAGAAGCATGATCACTTTTACTATGACAGTTAGCATGCGGAAGACACAATTGGGCATTCAACTGATTTTGGGGTGATATTGTACATATGTGCCGAGGCGGGCATTCTGAATGCATGAAAATATGAAGTATAATTAGTGGCAGAAACATTTCAATAATCATAAGACTTTTCAACTAAAAGCAAAGTCCATTGTACGATTCAGACTATATCACAAGTATGTGCTTATGAATCACTATGACATTTACGATTTACAATGAAGTTTACTGTGTGTAAAGCAGGAAATTAATGCGAGCAGAATATTAATGCGAAAAATGCGAGTGACGGAAGGTCAACAGGACAACAGGAGTGTGAGGATTGTCACCTGATCGAAGATTTGATACACTGATCTGTTTTCTACTTCTTTACATCAAAGGGCCGAACGTATATACTAGTACCAACAGACTGTCAACTAAAACAACACTAACAGAATGATAGCTGCAAGGAAACCATTCTCACGCTTGGCCATCAAACATACGGGCAATTAGCTTAAATAATATTAAAATAAGAAAGGAATCTCACACTGAAAAAACATGGACAGGGGATTTAATGTGCACAGTTATTTTATTTATCTCTGTCTACTAATCTCACACTGAAAAAACATGGACAGGGGATTTAATGTGCACAGTTATTTTATTTATCTCTGTCTACTCACAGTTCCTGCTCAAAACGTCATTTGAAACAAACGAAGCGTTTTCAGGTAAGGCGTAGGTTACATTAATTAAAATAACACAGAACATAAATCCAGCGCATAAATTTTTAGGAAAGGGTATGGGCACTCGCTTTTTTAAAATGCGCATTTATGTCTAAAATCAAGAGCTCGCATTATTTTCATGTCGCATTAAATTCCTGTTTTACAGTATAATAAATGGCAGAAACATTTCAATAATCAAAGTCCATTGTACGATTCAGACTATTTCACAAGTATGTGCTTATGAATCACTATGACATTTACGATTTACAATGAAGTTTACTGTGTACGTTTGCTGGCATGTAGATAATACTATAGGAATATTATAATTGATGTATCTTAGTTTTTAAGAAAAAAAATAGAAAATCGGAGCTAACAGGCTGATGGATGACAAAAGCTCACTTTGACTGCAGAAACTTGATTTTGTGCAAGGATATAAAGGGAGAAGTATGTGTGTTCATTAAATTCGTATTAACAGACTTGTAGATCGGTGTATGGCCTAAAATGTCCTAAAATTAATATTTAGATATGGACAACTTAATGTATCTGAAAGTATATATGAAATTACACCTTTAGCAAAAATTGCTTCCAGTATGCGTCATTGATGCTATGGTTTTCAGGAAATACTAAACTATTTTTTCCTATTTCTATTATTTCTTCATTAATACATTGATGTTGCTACATTTCACATGCTTTTACATACAGCATATAATATAGAAGATATTGTTTTTGTCAAGTGACATTTTTATCTCGTGACCTAAGACCACTGACACTTTCTTGGGATAAAACAAGCATGTCACGTGATTGAACTGAACTGAACTTTATTTTACACTCAGGCCGCTATCAGCGGCATAAAATGTATACAATCATTTCAGCAACATATACATGTACATACATAAATATGGATAAAATATCCGTGGTCTAGCAGAGAGAAGAGGGTCGAGAGTTCGATCCCCGGCCGCGTCATACCAAAAGACGTTAAAAGATGGTACTTGTTGTTACCCTGCCTGGCGCTCGGCATTAAGGGATAAAAGGACTGGACGGCTTGGAGTCGATATACTGTGTCTGAGTGGGGTATTCGTGTTTAACGGCATGGTATCTCAGTGGGCTAGCACTATTTAATTGGCATTAGTCCGGACCAGCACAAGCAGCCACACACACAAACACACAAGGGCATGCATGTCGCTATATAAGTGCTTATAATTCACAGCACCATATCTGACCCATAAGCTATAAATACATTACCGTATGAACAAGGCCAAAGACATTCAATATGGCCTCAGATCCAAATGATGAAAAGCCTGTGATGTAAGTCTTTTCTTAATTATTTTCTCAGTACTAGTTCTTGTACAAAGTTGTGTCTATTTGAAAGTAGGTATTTGCATGGTTACCATATTTAGTTACTTCTTGTACACGGGCGGTTCTCGCTTCCAAACACGTGCGCTGGGTCACTGTGATCGGATTCTTGTCAACACAAGCTCATTTCAAATGATACTCACTCCTTTACTTAGGCATCGTTCTGCAAACGCACAGCTCTACGTCACCCACTCACTCGCACTCGCTGGCCGACCATGCCCAGAAGAAAAAAAATGGGTCGGCCTCATGCTGGCATGCGTTTATGTTCTGACAATTTGACATTCCATTGACGACGCCACATATAGTGCTAATACGCCTGGCAATTAGGTTACATTGTATGAGCTACATAAGAGTGAGTGAGTGAGTTTGGTTGAACGCCGCTTTTAACGGTATTCCAGTTATATCGCGGCGTGTCAGCTTAATGTGGGAGGAAAGCCCGTAGTGATGCAGGTCTCAGACGTTTACCACTTCGGTGAAACCCACGAGCACGGGTATGGTGCTGACAAACCTAGAAACATAATCGGGGCGAACCGGGATTCGAACCCACAATCATAGGTTTCTGGCGTGGCCAGGGGACGCAACTCTGCACAGCGAATCGCGGCGCCTTAGACGACTGGGCCACCCGTGCCCCCAGCTACATAAGAACATTGCTGAGGTACTCACATTCACTTTCCCCAACAAGCGACGATGTAATCATGTAATAAAATGGGAATGACACCTAAATGCAATATCTTTTATGATTAGATTGTTTGTACATCACAACCATCTCTATTGATTCACGTCGGCAATAGTTGACTTTAGGGATATACTAGTTTGGTCTTTGATATTCAATATCAGAGAGTGAGTGAGTGAGTGAGTGAGTGAGTGAGTTTGGTTTAAAGCACTTTGAACACTGTTCCAGTTATATCGCAGCCTGTCAGCTTGATTTGGGTGGTTAGCCCGTGGTGATGCAGGCCTTTGCAGTTTATGACAAACCTACGCGCATGCTGTATATGACTGAATAAAATTTAAAAAAAACCCCCCAAAACAAAAAACACGAGCATGTTGCCAAGGATGAAACATAGGCAGGCGAACCAGGATTCGAACCCTAACCACTGGCTCCTGGGTTCTACGGGACGTGACTCAAATATCGGGAGCCTCGATTTTAGTGTTTTGTCTGCAAAATACATAGACAGGTAGGTAAGCCAAATCTTGAGCTTCCGATTGAGCTTCCAATCTGTTTCATTGACGCTATGATTTCCAGCCTAAGATGAAAAAAAGGAAATACTTAAAATATTATTGCTGGATTTATTATTTCTTCCAAAACACATTGATGTTGTTAAAGTTTACACATAAATATAGTTGAAATTCGTTTTTGTCAAGTGACTATTTATATCTCGTGACCTAATACCACTGACACTTTCTTTGGTTGAGACAAGCACGCCTGACCTAGTTCGGCAGTTATCTAAACAAGAAGATAAAAATACATTGAACAACACCACTGACATTCAACATGGCCACAGAAAAATCCGCCATGTAAGTCTTTTGTGAAGATCATAGTTCTCTGAATTATTTCTCAGTAGTAGCCCTTGCACAAGCTTGTGCTTATTGACAAAGTATTTGCGTTATTACCTCTTTAAGGCACTCCTTGTGCGTGGACGGGATTCGTTCTCCAACACGAGAGCTGGGTCATTGTGATCTGTATCTCATCAACACAGGCTTATTTCACAGGCTTCTTCACTGTTATTGCAATGCCTATGCACAGAAGGACAAACTTTGCCGGCACACGTCAGGCCCGGCCTCATGCTAACATGTGCTTATGTTCTGACATTCCATTGACGACGCCACATATCGTGCCAGGACGCCTGGCAATTAGGTTACAATGTTGTGAGCTACAAAATAAGAACGTTGTTGAGGTACTCACATCTACTTTCCCCAACAAACGACAATATAATCATGTCTTTAAAATGGGAATGACAACAAAATGTAATATCTTTTATGATTTGATTGTTTGTAGATTATAATCAGTTACATTGTTTCACGTCGACAAGAGTTGACGTAAGGATACATATACTAGAATGGTCTTATATATTCAATAAGTGAGTGAGTTTGGTTTAACGTCACACTGAACGATGTTTCAGTTATATCACGGCGTGTCAGCATGATATTGATTTCTTGCACAGGGGGCCAGACTCAAAAACCGGAGCCTCGATTTTAGTGTTTTGTCTGCATAATAAATATGCATTGACAGGTAGGTAGTGAGGTAGTGTGGTAGGTAGGTACATTGATGGTAGGCATGTAAGTGTGTAGGCATATAGGTAAGTCAGTAGGTTTTTTGACGGATGGATGTATATACAGATAGATATGGATAAGTATGTTGCCTACGGGACGGGACTCAAATATCGGAAACTTCGATTTTAGTGATGTGTCTGCAAAATATATCTGACACTAACAGGTTGGTAGGTCGGTGGGTAGTGAGGTAGCTTTGTCGGTAGGAAGGCAGGTCGGAACGTCGATAGGTAGATTGGTGGATTGATGGATATATACAGTCAAGTACGGTTATTACGAACTCAAGGGGACTACTAATTTTAGTTCGTTATAACCGTTGTTCGTTATAAGCATATATACAGCATAACTACAGCAAATAGTCGGGACCAAAAAAGTAAGTTCGTTATATCCGTCAGTTCGTTATAAGCGTGTTCGTTATAACCGTAGTTTACTGTAGATTGATACGGAGAAGGAAGTTATCTAGCACAATACATACATTCTCGACCATGAACTGGGTTTTCCAGGGATCCCAACCTTGAAGAGCTGCCTGATCTGAGAAATTCGAAAGGACACGGATTCCTCTGTTTCCAGCATGATGGGTTGTACCTCTTCGTGCTGCCTCCACAAATAATGAAGGGACGCAGAAATACAGACACAGTCAAAACTGTCACAGAAGCCGAACTGAAGGATGATGACATCATTATTTGTGCGTATCCCAAATGCGGTAGGTCCATGGTGTATCCCACAACGAGTGAGTGAATGTTATTTAACGCCGCAGTCTGCACTACTCAAATTATTGAGCACGGCTATGGTGCTGAGGCGAATCTTTGATAGAAGCTCCGATCAGCGGATTCGGGCACGGCTAAGGGACCAAACTCTGCAGAGCGAAGTTCAGCCTCTTAGACCACAGGCCCGACCGTCATCCAAGATTATGTCCAGAATTATATTTTGTTATGATAATACTGTAACATAACCTTTATGGTCTTACAACGCTCAACAGGAACACCTTTCAATATATTGTTATACATGCTGCTTCTGTCGTGATCCTATTATTATAAAATCATTTCTCCCATACAAAGGAGGTAAAGAACACCATGATGGCCAAATATCTCTTCAAAGAAGGCAAAGACTGAAGATGCTGAGGGACCGACAATTCCAGGGTGTTTCAGAAAAATAAGGAAGAAGTGACCAAAAGACATTCGGTCCCTACCCACACTCCAAACATCCATCCCTCACCCCATCCATCCCCCACCCCACCCTCCAACACACATGCAAACCCATACACACAGAGAATTACTTTGAATCAAGGACAAAGAAGATGTAATTTATTTCAAAGTTCATCAAGTTCTCGACATGTTATATGTTATTTAGCAGCCCTTTCATATTTTGGTGCAACTAAAACAAATTCTGTTATAATTTGGAAGTTTTGGTGAAAGATTTACTGCATGTTACTGCTTTAGGAACCCATTGGCTGTGGGAAGTCATCGAGATGCTGATCAGTGGGACCATCAAGTATCAAAAGGATGTGAAAGAGACCCGGATGATGGAATTCATCTTCAAGGAAGGAATAGAAGCAGTGCCGCCTCCACGGGTATTCAACACACACCTTCCTCTGCGCATGCTTCCCAAACAGGTCGTGGAGAAGAAGGTCAAGTGTATTCAGATCATGCGCAACCCTAAAGATGCCTGTGTGTCCTTTTTTAACCACTGCAGAAATCTGGTTGAACCGCAAGGTTATGAAGGAGACTTCGCGGAGTTTACCGAGGCGTTTTTGTCAGGGAAACGTAAGTACAGCGAGTGGTTGATCACAGTCAATACTTCACGGTCCTCAGTACACAACTTCCCTCCATAAACCTTGAATACATATGGCCACTTCGCGGAGTATTCGCTATTTTAAGCAAGAAATCAATCAAAGAGTGTTCAGGCCAATAAGATCACAGGCCAAAAAGATCTAAGGTTATATCGCACAAACGGCAACATTTCTCGCCTGGCAAGGTCATCAACGTGTGCCAAAGCCATGCGGTTATCTGAACGCCTCTGTGATCTGGTGAATAGAGCGTCTGCCCGGAGAGCGGAATGGCGAGGGTTCGATCCCCGGCCACGTCATGCCAAGAGATGTTAAAAGATGGTACTTGTTGTTACCCTGCCTGACAGGTATTAAGGAGATAAAACGCCAAGCACACACGTCACTATTTGACAGTGTATCGGGCGGTGGGGTAGTCTATTAGTTAAAGTGTTCGTTCGTCATCCCGAAGACCCGGCTTCCTTTCGAGACATGGGTGGCGCGGTCGGGTAGCCTAGTGGATAAAGCGTTCGCTCGTCTCGCCGAAGACCCGGGTTCAATGGGTACAATGTGTGAAGCCCATTTCTGGTGTCCCCCGCCGTGATATTGCGGGAATATTGCTAAAAGCGGCGTAAAACAATACTCACTCACTCACTCCAGACATGGGTACAATGCGTGAAGCCCATTTCTGGCGTCCCCCGCCGTGATATTGCTGGAATAATCCTAAAAGCAGCTTAAAACAATACTCACTCACTAATGATAGTGTGTCATAAACACAAGATGTGGTCGGACTCGTACGCTGGTTTTAAAGGAGATTTGTTATGATTTTGGAAAGGTGAGGTGAGGTGAGGTAAAATGGGGTTTAACGTTGCGTCCAAGATTATTGCACTTATATAGCGAAGTGCATGCACGTGTGTGTGTGTGTGTGTGTGTGTGGCTGCTTGTACTAGTCCGAACTGATGCCGATTTACAGTGCTAGCTCACTGAGATACCATGTCGCAGTTTAACATGAATACCCCACTCAGACTCAGTATACTGACTCCGAGCCGGCCAATCCTTGTTTTTGCCCCTTAATGCCGGGCACCAGACAGGGTAACAACAAGTGAGTTAAAATTTAACGTCGCATCGGCATTATTTCAGCCATATAGCGACGAGGGAACAAAAAGTACCATCTTTTAACGTCTTTTGGTATGACGCGACCGCGAGACGGTCGATTATGGGAAGGTTTAGTTACAGGAGCTCCGACAGTCGCAGTGTGGACAGGACATCGACCTGTCTGTGAATACAAGTTCGACACTTTCCCAGGTGATGTTCAGGAATTCAGTTATATTTCAACCTTATCTTCCTTTATTTCCAGTACCGTTTGGATCCTATTCCACCTATCTGCTAACGTGGAAAGCTGAAGTGGCAGCTTCGCAAGAATTCCCTGTTCTTAATCTGTTTTATGAGGAAATGAAATTTGTGAGTATTCTACAAACCTGCATACATAGAGTTGTTGACCAAAAAACGTAAACTATAGAACTTACCTGCATATACATACATGGTTGCCATGTTGTACTCCTTGATATAACAGGTTTTTTTAATACAAACCCGTGAAGATCCGGGTTAGAATTCTGCAACCGATGCTTGTCGTAAGAGGCTTAATCGGGTCGTCAGGCTCGCTGATTTGGTTGATACATGTAATCGTATCCGAGTGCAGAGTTGATTGTTTACAGACCGCCGTCATATAACTGAAATATTGCTGAGCGCGGCAGCAATCTATCCATCTATCAATTTATTTGAGTGACAGATAAAGAACGAACACTCACTCACTCACTCACTCACTCACTCACTCACTCACTCACTCACTCACTCACTCAGGTTGTGTACCTCATGGCACAGGCACGTATGAACATATATCATGTCCCAAAAGATACGAACTATAAGCTGTATAAAGACACAAATACCTCCAGGACCCTGTCAAGAGTGTTAAAGACATCGCCAAGTTTCTACGCCTGAAATCTACAGACCAGTTCTGTGAAGAGGTTGCGGCTGCTTGTTCCTTTAAGAAAATGAAAAAAGTTGACGAGGAAATGAAAGGTGACCTTCCCTTCAAGATATGGAAAGATGGCTCTGACGGGACGTTCTACAGGAAAGGTACAACGCGTGTCACTTTAATTTTGGAAACAGATTTAATAATGCATTTTCTATTACCTGGGAGAAATACAACCCAAAGTTGCCTGGATGGGAAAGACAGTTCTTCAGATCCAAGACAATACATAAAATAGGGCATTTCTATTCCTGGATAATAACTTCTTTAATGACTGTAAAGGCGACGTTCTGGTATAGATCCTTATACCGCTGACAAGCATAATTTAAAGTACGCTGGCTTGGACACATTCGTTTCTCTGTTTCAGGTGAGATCGGGGACTGGAAGAATTGGTTCACTGTGGCAGAAAACGAGAAATTTGATCAAATATGGAACGAGAAGATGAAGGATTCTGGATTCGAGTTTACCTATACACCGGTGTGAGGTCATACCAAATACATGGGTTTCATGTGAACCGGTATCTAGTGAAATGTATGATACTCAAGAAGCTGAGTGTGCAGTGCCAATTTGCTTCATAAAACACTTCGCAGAAGTACAGGGGATTATCTGCGGATATTTACAAACGTAATTGCCCCAACATTTACCGCCCTCCTGATCTAAAGTTAAAGCATTTCAGGGCGACTTTTATATCCAAGAGATATAGGACATATTTTATCTTTATTCCCTGTCCTGGCTTAGAGTTGATATAGTTAGACTTTATATGTTGCGTACATAGGCAGGTCATATTTTATCTTTCTTCCCTGTCCCGGCTTAGAGTTGATATAGTTAGACTTTATATGTTGTGTACATACACCGGTGTGAGGTCATACATTGGTTTCACTTGAACCGATATAGTGAAATACATGATACTCAAATGTGCCATGACACGTGCAGTATCGCCGTAGCATATAAATGTGTCTTAATTTTGAACGTACAATTTATGAGATTTTACTTTGTCTAGAACCGTAGCTGGGAGTTAGTGAGTATGATTTCACACCGCTTATTATTCCAGCAATATCATGGTTGGCGACAACAGAGATGCGCTTCGCCTTTGGCCTGACGCGCGAACGCTTTAACCACTAGGCTACTCCCCCACCCCCGGAAGCTGTGATCACTGACCCTCCTTCAGCTCAAACGTCACAGAGTGATTAATGACCCTACTTTCAACATGACGTCACACTGTCATCACTAATCCTAATTTCAGCTGGACGTCACAGTGTGCCATTCTGACGTTTCAGTGCATCTAACATTTGACAAAAAAAATACATAGACAGTAATTTACGAATGACTAGGAATGAGGGATTATTTGTTTGACGAACATCAGGTCAAGTTTAAATGCGCTGTACGTGAACAAGGCGATGCTCCATATGTGAAAGTCATCTTTAATATATCCTTTTCCTTTCAGAATATTCAGAGGTGTGCAGAATTGTATATTACCATTGTGGAACCAATTGTTAACAAAATGCCGTCAGTTTTTGAACTGATGATGGAACCATAATGGTTCAAGTAAAATGTTTTCTAAATCAGTTTGATCAGTTTAAAAACAAGACCTGTACCTTTCCTAAGCTGCAATTGCATCCTCCTAAAAAAGGTAACTGATAGTAGTTGTATTTTGTTATATTTGCCCCTGTCATTGCAAAGATTATCGAATTGTGCACTTAGAACTATTCCTAAAACTTCATGACATAATCTAACTGGACTTCAAGTCATCGCACCTATCCATATTATCTTAGTGTTATAAATGTTGTTTTTTTCAGTCCTGACATTCTATAGAATATTGAAAGTGTATACATTGAAGCCCTGAGACTCGGTGACATCTCACATAGGTGTCATCCGCGTATTGACCGAGTTTCTGTTCTTTGTCATTAAGTAAAAATCATAATACCCAAAATTCTGGCTACGAACAAAAATAAATACGGCGAAAACAGGATACCCAGAGTTGTTATAAAATGGACTGTAACTGTGAACAATCCTACGTAGGTGAAACATCCCAAAGAGCACAAAACTTCAACCATCAAATCCGTGATGGTAAATCAGTAAATCAGCCATATCGGACCATATCAGCAAGTACACGGATAACGCACCAGCAAACATAATGGAAATAATGAAATATAAACGCAAAACATGATCATATAGGTTTGGGAAAAGTGAAGGAAACTGTACATAACACATTTATTACAAACTAATTTGTTGGCTTTCTTTCCGTCTGATTGCCATATCATGTGCATTTTGAGTAGAAAGTGTTTGAACAAGTTCTGTTCACACTGCACCATGAAACTTGACATATTGTTTCCAGTTGATTCCAATTTGATATTCGAGGGTTCGTACAGAACTACAGTAAACTACGGTTATAACAAGCTCAAAGGGACCACTAATTTTAATTCGTTATAACCGTAGTTCGTTATAAGCAAATGTAGGGAATATACACGGCAAATGGACAGGACTAAAAAAATAGTTCGTTATATCCGTCAGTTCGTTATAAGCGTGTTCGTTATAAACGTAGTTTATAGGACCGCCTCCGTGGCCTAGAGGTAGAGCGTCCGCCTGGAGAGCGGAAGGTCCGGGGTTCGATCCCCGGCCGCGTCACACCAAAGGACGTTAAAATATGGTACTTGTTATTACCCTGTCTGGCGCTCCGCATTAAGGGGCTAAAACAAGGACTGGTCGGCTCGGAGTCAGTATACTGTGTCTGAGTGGGGTATCCATGTTAAACTGCGACATGGTATCACAGTGTGCTAGCACTATAAATTGGCATCAGTCGGGACTAGTACAAGCAGCCACACACACACTGGCATGCACGTCGCTATATAAGTGCAATAATCTTGGACGCGACGTTAAACCCAATTTCACCTCACCTCACCTCACCTCACGTAGTTTACTGTAGATTGTGAAATCAGTACATGAATCAATCAATTCGATCTATTTCGTAGGTGTAGGCCCAGGGTTACATTTGTATTACAATGGACGTGACGTACACATATTGTTTTATTCTGAGAATAATGAACTACGAAGTGACATCGCTTGATAGATATAGATAGCTGGACGTTTAACTAATTTACAATCAGGTGTAGACATAATGATATTACATTTTTGTTTGGTCGGATATTCACAATATTACTTAGGTAAATGACGCGTCCGTTACTTGATATAACCGGGGCATAATAGCAAAATATGTCTGAAATCAGTAAATAACCACACACGATCAGTGAACGAGCAACAAATTATATTTGAAACACACATGAAAAGGTTTACAACCATAGACGTCAATACAGTGGGTCAACTATGTGACATTAGCAGTACATGGTAGAACCTATTGAAACACACACGATTAGGTTTACAATCATAGACGTCAATACAGTGGGTCAACTATGTGACATTAGCAGTACATGGTAGAACCTATTGAAACACACACGATTAGGTTTACAACCATAGACGTCAATACAGTGGGTCAACTATGTGACATTAGCAGTACATGGTAGAACCTATTGAAACCCACACGATTAGGTTTACAACCATAGACGTCAATACAGTGGGTCAACTATGTGACATTAGCAGTACATGGTAGAACCTATTGAAACACACATGATTAGGTTTACAACCATAGACGTCAATACAGTGGGTCAACTATGTGACATTAGCAGTACATGGTAGAACCTATTGAAACACACACGATTAGGTTTACAACCATAGACGTCAATACAGTGGGTCAACTATGTGACATTAGCAGTACATGGTAGAACCTATTGAAACACACACGATTAGGTTTACAACCATAGACGTCAATACAGTGGGTCAACTATGTGACATTAGCAGTACATGGTAGAACCTATTGAAACACACATGATTAGGTTTACAATCATAGACGTCAATACGGTTGGTCAACTATGTGACATTAGCAGTACATGGTAGAACCTATTGAAACACACATGATTAGGTTTACAATCATAGACGTCAATACGGTTGGTCAACTATGTGACATTAGCAGTACATGGTAGAACCTATTGAAACACACATGATTAGGTTTACAACCATAGACGTCAATACAGTGGGTCAGCTATGTGACATTAGCAGTACATGGTAGAACCTATTGAAACACACATGATTAGGTTTACAACCATAGACGTCAATACAGTGGGTCAGCTATGTGACATTAGCAGTACATGGTAGAACCTATTGAAACACACATGAATAGGTTTACAACCATAGACGTCAATACAGTGGGTCAGCTATGTGACATTAGCAGTACATGGTAGAACCTATTGAAACACACATGATTAGGTTTATAACCATAGACGTCAATACAGTGGGTCAACTATGTGACATTAGCAGTACATGGTAGAACCTATTGAAACACACATGATTAGGTTTACAATCATAGACGTCAATACAGTGGGTCAGCTATGTGACATTAGCAGTACATGGTAGAACCTATTGAAACACACATGATTAGGTTTACAATCATAGACGTCAATACGGTTGGTCAACTATGTGACATTAGCAGTACATGGTAGAACCTATTGAAACACACATGATTAGGTTTACAATCATAGACGTCAATACGGTTGGTCAACTATGTGACATTAGCAGTACATGGTAGAACCTATTGAAACACACACGATTAGGTTTACAATCATAGACGTCAATACAGTTGGTCAACTATGTGACATTAGCAGTACATGGTAGAACCTATTGAAACACACATGATTAGGTTTACAATCATAGACGTCAATACGGTTGGTCAACTATGTGACATTAGCAGTACATGGTAGAACCTATTGAAACACACATGATTAGGTTTACAATCATAGACGTCAATACGGTTGGTCAACTATGTGACATTAGCAGTACATGGTAGAACCTATTGAAACACACATGATTAGGTTTACAATCATAGACGTCAATACGGTTGGTCAACTATGTGACATTAGCAGTACATGGTAGAACCTATTGAAACACACATGATTAGGTTTACAATCATAGACGTCAATACGGTTGGTCAACTATGTGACATTAGCAGTACATGGTAGAACCTATTGAAACACACGTGATTAGGTTTACAACCATAGACGTCAATACAGTGGGTCAACTATGTGACATTAGCAGTACATGGTAGAACCTATTGAAACACACGTGATTAGGTTTACAACCATAGACGTCAATACAGTGGGTCAACTATGTGACATTAGCAGTACATGGTAGAACCTATTTACTAGTTCGTGGACTCCCGAATATCCAGAATCTGTCACAGTAGAATGTCTTGAACTGGGCATGTGCTCCGTTCTTGAATTCAGGAAACTGTGTTGGAAGTGGGCAGAACAGTCTGTACATTTAAGTGATACTTTTAATTTCCGTCCCTGGCATAAAACATAGAACATAGCTTTCGCTGCTTGTTCTGTTAACTTTTTACCCAGTGGTGGGGCAACAAATGCTGATCCGTATGTAAAAATTCAAACGATGGGACATCCGTTGTCTTCAGGCTGCTGCAAATCTTGATATTAAAATTTGATTGAAAATACACATTAGACTATCAAGTGACGATACACACAAACGCCACAGGGAGATGCGTAGCCTCGTGATAACAACAATCGCTCGTGGATAATAACCTTTGCAAAACCCATTCCCGCACCCCGCACCCCGCACCCCGCACCCCGCACCCCCCGCACCCCCCGCACCCCCCGTCACCCCCGTGGAATCAAAACTTTCATAACCTAGAACACTTCGTCTTGGGCAAGCCGTACACAGGGTTGCTTCACGAACACTTCTCACCAAGTATCACATTACGAGCAAAGGTCATATTCACAAACTAGGTCGATGACCGTCGTGGTGGATAGGTGTGCGTTATGTAACCGGCTGCTGTCACACCGCGCTCTTTTGAGCATTACCCATTTTCGTCATGTGCCTGTGAGAGCTGGATTGTACAGCTAGCGAATCGAATGCGCCCCTCTTGTACCAGAGCTGAATCTCAACTCGGTCATCTGACGCTCGCTTGGCATCTAACATGGCGGCACTCGAGGACTTAGATAAGCTACTGCAGTAAGTAACCTTTCCCCCAATTGCATTTTGTTGTGTGATGTTTTTCAAATCCTGGTGGATGGGTGTTCCGCATGTGACCCTATGAAGCTATGTACTGGTTGAACGATAAGTTGTGAGCCTAGAATGGAAGGACTTGCGTTATATCAGAGACCATATAATATCTATTATATGGTCTCTGGTTATATCACGAGACATATTTTGTCGTGGACAATACAGGACGTAATAAAATTACATGTCCACAAAAAACTTGAGTTAGTTGAGCAAATTGTTTCAGTGCTACATGTCAGTAAAATATCAAGGGTCTGTGACCTTTGGAAACATGGACATACTTGAGCATGATGTGATCAAGTACTTGCAAAAAGAGCTTAATGCGAATCGCCATCCATGAAGGTGTGTGAACAACACCACAGAAACATATTCCTTCTTCTGCAACTGTAAAGGTGAGGTGAGGTGAAATGGGGTTTAAAGTCGCGTCCAAGATTAATGCACTTATATCTACGTGTGTGTGTGTGTGTGTGTGTGTGTGTGTGTGTGTGTGTGGCTGCTTGTACTAGTCCGTACTGATGCCGATTTATAGTGCTAGCACACTGAGATACCATGCCGCAGTTTAACATCAATACCCCACTCACAACACAGTATACCGACTCCGAGCCGATCAGTTCTTGTTTTAGCCCCTTAATGCCGAGCGCCAGACAGGGTAACAACAAGTACCATCTTTTAACGTCTTTTGATATGACGCGGTCTCCGGGCGGGCGGTCGCAACTGTAGAGAGTTGCGCAACATAGTATAAACGCAGCAGTGACATTGGCTGCCTTGAAGACGACCCCCCCCCCCCCCCCACCAGTCCCGAAAGGCCTGTCACGAGAGAAATGAAACTACGATACGGTGATACCTTACCACAAATGACTGAGCGTCATAGATTGTTAGTTAAGTAGGCATTTCCCAGGTGAGAGTACATTACATTATCACAAAAGCTTTGGCTGTGAAGAAAGTATCAACTCGTTTGGTTCCTAATGCCTTGACATCTGATGAAAAACGCACCAGGCACATGTCTGGTGATAATCTATCCCTGTTTGAAACTGATCCAGAAAGGTTCTTGCCAAGGTCCGTGACTATGGATCAAATGTTATAACGAACTAAAATTAGTGGTCCCTTTGAGTTCGTTATAACCGTTGTTTACTGTATGTTGATTAGATGTTGGTACGTTGGTACTTTAGGTAGAGGTTAGAAATGAGTGTATTAAGTATGTGGCATGGTCTTGTAATGTCTTTTAGACCAAAGTCGTTGCAGAATTAATGCCCAGTCAGCAGTCCCTACCTTTCCTATAGAATGTCTGTTCTGCAAGCAGTTATCAATATATCTTTGATCAAAGCAAGTAAGCAAGGAATTATTACTTTTATGCATAGAAAAACTTGATCGTTATCATAAATGTCTTGCATGTTTTTCAGGACGATCCCAGGCCTGGAAGTACTGGATCTCAACAACTCCAAAGGCCACGGCTGCAAGAGTATCGTATATGATGGCCTGTATCTATTTATACCGCCATTGGTTTTGTTGGAACGAAGGAATCCGTTTGAAAGTTTACAGAGTATCAAAGAAACTGAAATGAAAGACGATGATGTCATTATCTGCGCATATCCTAAATGTGGTAGGTACAAGATTCCTTACACAGATGTGATTACAATGGATTAACCTTCTTGTTGAAAAGGATTATTTCCAAATTTTGTTTTATACTTTTTAAGGTACTCATTGGTTATGGGAGGTCATTGAGATGCTCAAAAGTGGGGTCATTGAGTACAGAAAGGAGACAAAAGAAACCCGGATGATGGAAGCAATATTCAAAGATGGAATAGACGCCATTCCTACTCCTCGAGTCCTGAATTCCCACTTACCTCTGCGCATGCTCCCTAAACAGATCGTTGAGAAGAAGGTCAAGTGTATCCAGATCGTGCGCAATCCTAAAGATGTCTGTGTGTCCTATTTCAACCACTACAGAGATATGGTTCAGCCTTTCGGATTTGAAGGGGACTTTGCTGAGTTTACAGAAGCATTTTTAACAGGCAAACGTACGTACTAGTCTTCGGATATGGATCCTATGTTGATTTACTGAGAGTGTGGTTTATAATGATTGTGTTTTCCAGCGTGGTCTAGATATATTGATATAAGTAAAGAGCTTTCGGGTGCATCAGATGGCCCACTCGTCTAAAACGCTGCTATTCACCGTATAGAGTTGCGTCCCTTAGATGTATCAGGGTCCGATGATCGTGTTCATTAAGTTGACACGGACCGCCTCCGTGGTGTTATGGATACAGCATCTGCCCGGAGAGCGATAGATTGTGATGCGATCCTCAGCTGCATCATATCAAATGACGTTATAAGAAGCCACTCGTAACACTGCAGGGTTCGACATTTAAGGGATAAAACTGGTGAAGACAATGGTCGGCTCGGAGTCGGTATATCGTGTCTGCGTGATGTATTCGTGTTAAACTGAACGGTATCTCAGTGGGCTAGCACTATATAACCCGCATAAATCCCGGCTAGTAGAAGCAGCCTCGCATACGCACACGCACACACAAACACGTTTATGCACGTCGCTATTTAAATGCAATAAACTTGAAAGGACATTAAACTCCGTTTCACCTCATCACATCGTAAGCTTACGTCCCCAAATTATAACAGACATATTGTTCAAAACGTCGTTACACTCAACACACTGACTCAATATATCCAATAGACGAACATTTAATCTATGAAATCTTATGTGGAATAGAGCTAGCTGGAGCTAGCTAGACTTGCTTTTGTATACGTTTCCAGATTGTTTTTCTCTCAATATAAAATATTCCACAGTCATGGCACAGGACTATATATCCAACTTAACAACTTGATAATGCGTGTAAGAATGGCAGCAAGTTACATGAACATACAGTTTTAATTTACCTGTTCCAGTGTGTTACGGGTCTTACTCCGACTATCTGTTAACATGGAAGGCAGAACTGGAAGGATCACCAGCAGTACCTGTGCTCGATCTGGTTTATGAAGACATGAAACATGTGGGTGATTTATGTACAGTCGCCTGTCGTTGACGCTGTTTAACTTCAATTATTGTGGCATGTTTCTAGTATGCGACTTAAATGGGGATAGCATGGTCAGTATCGCTGGCCGATTGTGTGTCGGAATATCCAGACGACGTGGAACGTTGATGGTGTTTTCTAACCGAATTCCTGTCCTGAACTGGATTACTGGTTCCCTCCCATCAGTCAGACAGGCCATTTGTCATACACCTTGTTATTGCCAATCGTCATACAGTTGAGTAGGGGGTGATTAGAGCACTCACCTTAAGCTGTAATGGTATGACCTAACACTCTGAGTTAAGGTCTTTGTTACGACAACAATGTTAAATTCATTAAGGGTGAGCTGTTGTTAGCTGGTTATCTTGTGAGAAGAGGGTAGTAAAATGATCAAAGTCACTGTAAGTTCTTTTACTGACAAATAATTGATATGTTGTTTTAATAAATACTTTGCCCTTTGAGGTTAATAAATGTAATTCATGTAATCCTCTGAAAGGAGACGAGAGATGTTTGAATCTCTATCACAATCACAATTCACAATCATGGCTCTGCGACTTGTAGTATACGTTACGTCATCCCGCGGTACCCAGCAGGTTCTCTTTGAAGGATACTTGATCAACAAGAATGCAACAAGACAGACAGCACAACACTGGCGTGCTGATGATTTTGTGAGGAATGTGTCAGAGCACAACCACCCCCCAGAGAATTCAAACCGAGTTCGTTTTGTCAGCAACATGAGGAAGAGAGCTTTAGAGAGGAAAAAAAACACGATACAGCAGTTCTACAACCAACAGATCGCTGAAGAAGATGATGACCAAGCCCAAGCCCTCCCTGCCTTCCCCAGCATGAGCAGTGCCCTTTACCACCACAGAAGGAAGACCACACCAGTCCTGCCCCAAACCAGAGCCCAAGTGGACTTAGATGATGCCTGGAGCCATACATCAGATGGGGACCGCTTCCTCCTATTCAGCGATGGAGAAGAAAATAAGATCCTTGCCTTTGCCACAGATGAGCAGCTACAGATCCGGCAGTGCAACAGTGGATTAGACGGACAGCAGGTCTAGCGCTTCTCCCTGCAGGTGATGTCCAAGACGCCTGGCTAGAAGCGATGCAGCACACATCTGATCTACCCAGAGCTGAGACCTTCAACGACTACATGGTATTGACTTAAGTAGATTATGATGCTCGTTTTTCCGATTCTCCTATGGAATCACCATGACACCACTGGCCCGAGGACCAACAACAACCTGGAAGGCTTCCACAACAAGCTGACTAGAAGTCTTCCTCACCAACACCCCAACATCCAGCGTCTGATAGAAGTCTTCCAAAAGATTGAGAAAGCTGACAAATTGAAATTGGCGCAGATAAACCTCGGTGCACCTGAACCAAGTAGAAAGCGGGTCTACCGTGAGGTTGACAATAGACTCCAGAGACAGAAAGATCAACTGAATCCATGGAAGGAAAAGTCTGATCCAGTTCCTTGATGCTGCAGGTCACCTTGAAGCTTGGATAGCCATTATCCGCCATTATGATGCTTTGAATGTTGAATTATGTTATTTATTCTTGTTAAAAATGGTTCATATTTATAATATTATGTTGAATAATCCATACTAATTGATTAATTACTTTTCTGCTTTACATTCTGTTTTCGTACAATCTACAAATGAATTAGCACAATATCATTCATAATTACAATCCTGGTGTTCCCTATAATTCAAACTTAAACATAACACAGTTAATGATCTGTGTGGAACAGTCCATATTGATAGGTAGAAGGCAGGGGGTTAGTGGTCCAGTCATGCATATCCTATGTTGTTATAAGCTGTATGACAAATGGCCTGTATGACTGATGGAAGGATACCGGATTACTTACGGTTCGAACCGGATTACTAACAGTTATACTCAACTACCCATTTACTTTTTATGATGTTAAATGGGATACCCTGGATAGTTGTCTACATTTATAAACACACATACACGCCCTTTGTGAAGCACCACCCCTCCCCCGCCCTCAATACACCCTAACATTCCCAAACCCATACCCGACAACTTGGTTCAAAGCGTGTAATCGTACCGCGTCATCGAGGGACGGCTGATAATACCGGACACTGGATTGCATGGGCGAAGATTGGAGACCACCGAAATATATATATGTAATTTAATTTGCTTATCTTGCAACGTTTCTATTTGTATAATGATCTGTTCTTATAGCAGAGGTGTCCTCACTTTCATCTCGTCATTACTGTTATACTAATTATCTAGCACAGAGGACCAGATCAGGAGTACATTACACGTCCACATATCTGCTTCCAGGATCCTGTCAAGAGTGTTAAAGACGTCGCCAGATTTCTAGGCGTGACAGCAACAGACATGTTCTGTGAAGAAGTTGCGCATGCTTGTTCCTTTAAGAAGATGAAACAGATTGACAAAGACAGGAAACTTGGAATTCCCGTGGGCATCTGGAGAGAAGATGCAGAACAAACATTCTATAGGAAAGGTAGGGACCACTGAGTGGGCATTAATTCTGCACCGACTTTGGTCTGAAATACATTACAAGACCATGCCACCTTATGGATGAAATCATTTCCTTTACCCTCATGGCTAGTTACTGACCCCTCATCGGCATTGTCTCAGACCATCAAAAATGTTAATTTGCATCAAAATGTTTTGAATACCGAACTGGAAGTTTTCAGTCAACAACATTGTATTATTATACAATCATTGTCCATACACCACAGACCACAGCATATCAATGTTAATGAAAGTAGTCACCATATTGGGAAATATCTGAGGAAATCCCAAAGGAAGTTTTGGAATTAGTGAACCCTCCTACCACGAAGGGTTTCGATGAGCATTCGGTCCATATTCTGACCAAGATTGGAACTGGAAATTTGTCACAAGGTATCGCAACAGTTCTAGAATGTGTGGAATTTAATTTTTTATGATTGCGTTTGAAACATTTTAATGTGTGAAGTTAATAGTAGCGCGATATTATATATTTTGACTATTACCATGCTCTTAATTCTCCTATAAAGTATTTAAAGCTCCCTGTCATAATCTTCCCATCAGTAACCACTGGACTATTTAAGCTGATTATATACGAGCGTATGTTAAACATGTAATATTGACAGTAGCGGGAGACCTCGCCTAGGTGAACACTACCAAGCTGACTGTCACTTCCAGATGAACGTCAGTATGTCACGTGATTACACACTGTCGTATATTGCTTCGGGAAATAAACACATCCCACTGAACGTTAATATCAATCCATTTTCAGCATCAGCCGGGTATGGATTTCTTTCCAACGCAAATTTTACTTGGTGCAACTTTTATTTCAAGCGAATGATATTGCCGTAGCCGCCATTTTCTGCCGTTTGTAAAACTAAGGGATGTCACTCCAAATGGAATATTTTGGACGGATGTCGTCACGACGTCACGACTCTCCGCGTTGATATAGTTCGCTTAAGATAATTAAAGTTTAATGGATTGTTTTGTTATGATTTATGTATCTGTCAATATAAGGATTAAAGGTGTATTTGTTCATCGTTGACGTTAAATGAAATTCAGTATGTGTGTAGTTAGCAATTGGCACATAAGAACCAGTTTCTTGTGTGCAAATGCTTTCAATTTTGACCTTCCGTTTACCTGTTTGTGTTTTAACAATGCTCTTAAAGCCTTTAAAAAAACATTTTGCATCAGTACACATCTTCCCTTCTGAAATTGCCTAACGGAGGAAGCTGAACTTTGGCATGTATGTCTCTTCTCTTAATGACATCGTATTTTATTCAAATCATTTATATGATTTCTCTACATGCTTTTTGGATATCAATTTTGACAGCCACCCTTGTAAAGTGTCTGTCTTTGAATAGCTGTCTTTGACTTACAGTGATCATTGTTGTGACTCATACCAAGAGTATATGATGTCCACTTTAGTTTGAGTTTAATGTATTATTTTAGTTTGAATAACATTTTATACATGCACTTTTCTGCACTTTTCTGATTTAGGTGAAATTGGGGACTGGAAGAACTGGTTCACAGTGGCAGAGAGCGAGAGATTTGACCAAATGTGGAACAAGAAGATGAAGGACTCTGGATTTAAGTTTAGCTACACACCCTTTTGAAATCATTCCAACAGTCACTGTTTCGGAAAGTCGGATTTCTTTAAATCTGTGAAATGGCAGGAATTTCTCTGAATTCCATGTACTGCATATTAGTGTTCATGTGTATATGCAGAAAACTCTGTCATAATATAGCTTCAGTAAAATCATTTCCATAATCACAGGAAATCTGTGTTAAGAGTCTATTGTATGACACAGAAAGCGCTCGTTAAATCTCCAGCATCATCATCTTATTTATGATTCATTCATCAGTAAAGAAATATGTTTCTGTATCAGACGGTGGCATACATCAGTAAAAATTACAAAATTAATTTGTTACACAATGTTGCATAATTCTGATACTATTATAAATACTTGGATGAATACTGGATATATGTTTCGAACGAAAGTCTATTAATATTAATATAACATTTAGTTGAAATTGACCCCGAAGTTATATAGGCAGGTAATTATTTCTTCGGGCCGTGTTTATTAACACAAGGAAGGTGGTCATTCAAGGATGTACGCTATATTCTTATGTGACAGCGCTCAAGACACCAGTGGTCCATGTGCAGTCATTCTGGATGACCACTGTCCCGTCATCAAGTGTCATCTGTCCGTTGACCAGATCGGCATCTTCTTTAACCAACTGGAAGAAAAGATTATATAAACAATTAATTAATTCTGGGTCTGTAAGACTATCATGGAACAGTGTAGCAGCTATGATGCATTAGTTTTGATTCCGTAGTAATAATGCAATGACAACCAAAAGTTATAAAACAAATGAAAGGACCGCGATGCAACATCTAAGGGAGATTATTCTCAAAAATCGCTTGTAATGTCAGTTTTGTACTGAGCCTATCGGAATTTTCTGAAAGCAGAAACTTATTTCAAGACTGACAAAGAAATGCTGGCCTATCAGTAAATGCATCTGTGTATTGCTTGAAAGTTTTTTTTCTGTATACTTCGAATATATATATTTGGTGGCATTAGTCTGTACAGATTTAGTGTCTGCAATAGATATATCAGTGTCCAGATTGCACGTGAGGTTAATATTTTCTACATCGACAAAACAGTTTGTTTCATATTCAAATCTGATGAAATTACCATCCAATCTGTTCAATTTCATTGCATGTCTTTTGCATTGCGTTGGTTTCTTATACAATAACTTTGCTCACCAAATGAATGTTGGGAAATATTTTCCCTTCCGTGAAGTCTTTAGTTATTCTTTTCTTATTTAGTTTGTTCATTTTCATTTGTGACATTACTTTGTAATTACTCTTATATTAAATGCAGACACTTGGAATTGATGTAACGGATACATATGTTCAAATAAGCAACCAAAGCTTGAATATCAGAAAAAGGTCAAGAGCACGCATGACCCATTACCGCGTAATTGTCCTGCGAATGTCTACAATGGGACCATAAAGATACATACCACCATTTATCTGGGGTAGGAGAAACCGTGTAATGTCCGAATGTCACCAACAAAATACCCAAATGCCCTATTATATGTGACCGCCTCCGTGGTCTAATGGTAGAGCGTCCGCCCGAGAGCGGAAGGTCCGGGGTTCGATCCCCGACCGCGTCATACCAAAAGACGTTAAAAGATGGTACTTGTTGTTACCCTGTCTGGCGCTCGGCATTAAGGGGCTAAAACAAGAACTGGTCGGCTCGGAGTCAGTATACTGTGTCTGAGTGGGGTATTCATGCTAAACTGGGGCATGGTATCTCAGTGTGCTAGCACTATAAATCGGCAGCAGTCCGGACTAGTACAAGCACACACACACACACACACACACACACACACACACACACACACACACACATGAGCGACTGAATTTGTACCCGCACTGCCACCATGACCCGCCATACCTAAGGACTATATTGGACAGTACTCAGGTATTCATGAAATTTTATATTGTACCAAGGCTCCAACTATGAACATATGATACTCGGTTTCAAGCTTTGACGAACAGCGGAGGTACTCAACGCGCTGTGTGTCACGTTGGCCAAGCAGGCAGCGGGGACACAGCCATACTACAGATACTGACTAGCGCCATGCGCACAGATAAGATTTTGTTTTGTTTGTCTCTGTTTAATGCCGCACACAGCAATATTCCAGCTATATGACCATATGGTCAATGTGACCATACGCCCTCTTACTGTCAATAAAAGCGGCCAATGCGCTACGAATAGCGCAACACAGGTCGCGTACTAGTCTGGATTTCTGCGATATCATGCGGGTACTCACGGGGAAAAAACAATAACAAAGGCAACAACCAGTCCCGGGGAATTGCTTTAGATCAGTGCCCCTTTAAGGAGCACTACCGCAATTTATATACAGCCCAATGTATTTCACACCAGGGGCGGTCGGGTAGCCTAGTGGTTAAAGCACTACGACTAACTCATTGGTGAATATTTGTTTCAACTCCATTGCCAAGTCACACAGTGCGCCCTTCATTCCTAAATAGCTATGTCAGCGCTTGGCTAGGTGAAGTTGCCCATTCACTATATATAAGGGGCTACTGGCTGATTCGGAGAAGTGACCCACATAATGATATCTTAGTGTCACGGTGACCCTTTGGGAAACAACAACATATACGAAGGACCACTGATCAACTTCTCCACTATCAGTCAGTGGCCGATATTTACACACAGTGTTTCGCACACCAGCCGGAGCTCGCTTGTACTGGGCCGACCTCGCGGTGGTGATACGGCGTCAGTCTCTTGCCGTATTGCAACCCAGTAATTGAACCGCGGTGATAACCTAAAAGTTATCATCACCTCACGTTGGGACACGAGCCCGCTGCGGAATGTCCTCAGAAAACTTCAAACCATGATAGAAATATGTTATACCTACACAAAAGATATCAAAATGCACATGCCGATCAATTGTCCTATGGCGGTTCTGAAGAAAGTGGAAACGTTGTACAACAGGGCACTACTCCCCACCCCCAACCACCCCACCCCCAACCCCCAACCCCTCTCTCTCTCTCTCTCTCTCTCTCTCTCTCTCTCTCTCTCTCTCTCTCTCTCTCTCTCTCTCTCCCTCTCTCTCTCTCTCTCTCTCTCTGTGTATTTTTGGGACATTAAGATCACGGATGATATGGTCTATTAACAGAAAACATGCAACACTATGGCTAACTCCATTTTGTGAACACACTAACACAATCATTTTATTGAACCAAATCACTCAATACGCCCCTCTCCTTGCATGGTCATGTTAAGTTTTCCATTCACTAGATGTAGGGACTGGCTAATTCGTGGAAGTGACCCAGAATACGAAATCTTAGTGTCACTCTGACCCTATGGGAAGCATAAAAGGACCCTAGATCGACTACCCTAGTATCAGCCAGTGACCTCAAAAACACTGTGAGCGTTTAATTATATACATGCCACTGTTGGTGGTTAATGATATACATATCACAACAACAACAAAATAATAATTATAATAATAATTAATTGTAAATGTTTGAATTTGAAGTCCTGGAAAAAGATTGTCTGGGCTTTACTGTTTTAGGAACCCATTGGCTGTGGGAATGCCTCGAGATGCTAATCAGTGGGACCATCCAGTACCAGAAGGACGTGAAAGAGACCCGGATGATGGAATTCATCCTCAAGGAAGGAATAGAAGCAGTGCCGCCTCCACGGGTCTTCAACACCCACCTCCCTCTGCGCATGCTCCCTACACAGGTCGTGGAGAAGAAGGTCAAGTGTATCCAGATCAGGCGCAATCCTAAAGATGTATGTATGCTTTTTTTCAACCACAAGAAGAACATATTACCTTCCAATGACTACGAGGGTTACTTCGTGGAGTTCACAGAGGCGTTTTTGTCGGGGAAATGTAAGTTGCACTTGTAATTGATGCCAAAGATTTATTTTAAAATAAACTGTTTCACCTCCTGTCACTTCCCATTAACCGGTCTGTTTTCCGTTTGGATCCTACCACAACTACCTGCTGACATGGCAGAAAGAAGTAGCCAGACAACCGAACCTACCTGTACTCACCCTGCACTATGAGTGAGTGAGTTAATATTTAAAGTCACATCAGCACTATTTCAGCCATATCGTGACTAAAGCAATTAAAACATTAAGAAAACAATAATATAGACTATCTATAAACCTGTCAGCAAAGGATTACTAGACCTATCACAGATATCAATTTTTAAAACTAGTACGTGACCATAAAAAGCTATTACTAAACAGAACAATACATTGTAAAAACGGGCTATAGATCGCCAGCAATTGAAGGTAGATCACCATGCTAGGGACCATGGGGACTCATAGTACCTTTTCTACCTGCATGGACCGCAGCAGGATTTACACCATCCCTTCAGTCGCTGGCGACTGTATGCAAGTTTAGCCATTGATTAAAACAAACAACTATACTTCGATTAAAACCGATGTAAGAATAAATGTACTTTGAATAATGTCTTACATATCCCCTCAGGGGGACAATAATTTACGCTACTTCAACCCCCTTTGAGGATATAGCCACGAACATCTAAGTTACATATTATACATTACCAATATATAATATAGCTATTAACACAATTCAAAATTTATCAAAAAGTTCCATTTCTTTTAAAAAGCCTATAATTAAATGAGAATTTATTCTGTTAAAAAGATCCATCATTGATGATGATTTGAAATATTTATCCATTGTGATGGAAAAATCCCTGCACTATGAGGTCATGAAGGTGGTGAGTAGGGTTGGATAATCTGCTGGATCATACTCTCCTCCTCACAAGACGAAAAGGTTTGAACTCCTTCCTTGTTAAATACTTAGAGATATACTTTGTTTGCATCTGAGTCTCGTTGATAGCGTTGTGCAAGTTGTGACAGCATGTATAGTGTGTAATGTGAGTATAAATGTGTTTGGAAATAAAACAAATCCCAGCTTTGGATTAGTGGGGGCTTATTCAAATGAATTTTATTTTCACAAATTAGCCTTTTTGCGTGTATATAAGCCTGCCGAGGGCTAAATGTGTTGGTAGTCAGTTGTTTATCCATCATGATTTATGTCACCAACTTTTCACCTTGCCTTGCAATCAAGTAATCTGATTGTGGCTTGAACAGGCCACCTTACTCGTGGTCTGCCAGGTGCATCCTAGGCTGTTGCACAAGCAGCCCCTGCAGTTGTAGAGACAGGTCACATGGCTGTCCTCCATAGAAACATGTGCGAGACCACGATCGTTGTAGTTCCACCTACACGTCTATAGCTAATGTGTTCGGAATGTATTCAGTATACAAGGATAAGTACATGTGAGTACATGCTTTGCCCCGCATTAAAAATTATTTTCGTCATATCCCGATACGTGAGATAAATGATTTATGGGGGAGGAAATTACGTTTGTCATTGCCGTTTACGACTTCAGGGAATCTTTCAAGCACATATATGATACACCAAGAAATATAAACCGCCTCCGTGGTCTTGTGGTAGAGCGTCCGCCCGGAGAGCGGAAGGTCCAGGGTTCGATCCCGGGCCGCGTCATACAAAAAGACGTTAAAAGATTGTACTTGTTGTTACCCTGTCTGGCGCTCGGCATTAAGGGGCTAAAACAAGGACTGGTCGGCTCGGAGTCAGTATACTGTGTCTGAGTGGGGTATTCATGTTAAACTGCGGCATGGTATCTCAGTGAGCTAGCACTATAAATCGGCACCAGTCCGGACTAGTACAAGCAGCCACACACACACATACACGTGCATGCATATAAGTGCAATAATCTTGGACGCGACGTTAAACCCAATTTCACCTCACCTCACCAAGAAATATAGTCAGGCACGGTTTGTGTATCGTGACGAGAAGACGGGAGACAACTCCACACCGCCAAGTGAGTGCAATTGACAACTAGGTAGAATTCATCCGTATTCTTGACATTACTTTTACCACGTATACAAATGTCCATGCATAGTGAAGAGGACGATCAGTATTATTCATATATGGACAGAGAAGGGTGGGACAATTACTAATGCCTGGGTGGATGTGCCGTACATTAGTAACACTAGATGTAATCACGGTGTGCAAAATACGCATAATGTTTGAAAGCGCACGTAAAATCTCCGACTCGGGCTTTCTCCACTTCGTGTCGGGTTTTTCTCCCACATAATGCTGATGCATCACTACATCACTGATGTATTGTTCAAGGACGTCCCAGATACTTCCTTCCAGAGTGATAAATGCATATGCTTCTACTCCTTGTCAAACTGCTTCATTTTATCAAAGCTGCACGCCTCGGCTTTACCTTTATAGAATTATCTGTTACAGTAATATTCAGGAATGTGGCAATGTCTTTTCTACACTTGACAGGATTCTGCAAGACAGAAATGATATGGAGACGGTAATATGTTTTTACAAGGGATTGACCATTTTATGCTTTTGGGATGTGTGTGTGTGTGTGTATGTGTGTGTGCGTGCGTGCGTGCGTGCGTGCTTGCGTGCGTGTGTGTGTATGCGTGCGTGTGTGTATATGTGTGTGTCTGTATGTGTGCGTGCTTGCGTGCCTGTGTGTGTATGCGTGCGTGTGTGTGTATGTGTGTAATGGGTATATTTTATGATAACAATAATCGTGGGCAAATCGTGGGCTGATAACATCCGAGAGAGAGAGAGTCGGACAAAGCATGTACTTACACACAGTAGAATAGAGGACTATCTGTTGTCCCCATACAGTAGAATAGAGGACCACCTGTTGCCTTCATAGAGTACAACAAACAGCTATCTGCTGCCCTCATACAGTAGAATAGAGGACCATCTGTTGCCTTCATACAGTAGAATAGAGGACCATCTGTTGCCTTCATACAGGAGAATAGAGGACCATCTGCTGCCCTCATACAGTAGAATAGAGGACTAGCTGTTGCCTTCATACAGTACAACAAACAGCTATCTGCTGACCTCATACAGTAGAATAGAGGACCATCTGTTGCCTTCATACAGGAGAATAGAGGACCACCTGTTGCCTTCATACAGTACAAGGTGAGGTGAAATTGGGTTTAACGTCGCGTCCAAGATTATTGCACTTATATAGCGACGTGCATGCACGTGTATGTGTGTGTGTGGCTGCTTGTACTAGTCCGGACTGATGCCGATTTATAGTGCTAGCTCACTGAGATACCATGCCGCAGTTTAACATGAATACCCCACTCAGACACAGTATACTGACTCCGAGCCGACCAGTCCTTGTTTTAGCCCCTTAATGCCGAGCGCCAGACAGGGTAACAACAAGTACAATCTTTTAACGTCTTTTTGTATGACGCGGCCCGGGATCGAACCCTGGACCTTCCGCTCTCCGGGCGGACGCTCTACCACAAGACCACGGAGGCGGTCTTATACAGTACAACAAACAGCTATCGGCTGCCCTCATACAGTAGAATAGAGGACCATCTGTTGCCTTCATACAGGAGAATAGAGGACTAGCTGTTGCCTTCACACAGTACAACAAACAGCTATTTGCTGTCCTCATACAGTAGAATAGAGGACCATCTGTTGCCTTCATACAGTACAACAAACAGCTATCTGTTGTCCCCATACAGTGGAATAGAGGACCATCTGTTGCCTTCATACAGTAGAATAGAGGACCATCTGTTGCCTCCATACAGTAGAATAGAGAACCATCTGTTGCCTTCATACAGTAGAATAGAGGACCATCTGTTGCCTTCATACAGTAGAATAGAGGACCATCTGTTGCCTTCATACAGTAGAATAGAGGACCATCTGTTGCCTCCATACAGTAGAATAGAGAACCATCTGTTGCCTTCATACAGGAGAATAGAGGACTATCTGCTGCCATCATACGGTAGAATAGAGGACCACATGTTGCCTTCATACAGGACAATAGAGGACTATCTGTTGTCCCCATACAGTAGAATAGAGGACCATCTGTAGCCTCAATACAGTAGAATAGAGGACTATCTGTAGCCCCCATACAGTAGAATAGAGGACCATCTGTAGCCCCCATACAGTAGAATAGAGAACCATCTGTAGCCCCCATACAGTAGAATAGAGGACAATCTGTAGCCCCCATACAGTAGAATAGAGGACAATCTGTAGCCCCCATACAGTAGAATAGAGGACCACCTGTAGCCCCCATACAGTAGAATAGAGGACCATCCTGTAGCCCCCATACAGTAGAATAGTGGACCATCTGTTGCCTCCATACAGTAGAATAGAGAACCATCTGTTGCCTTCATACAGTAGAATAGAGGACCATCTGTTGCCTTCATACAGTAGAATAGAGGACAATCTGTAGCCCCCATACAGTAGAATAGAGAACCATCTGTTGCCTCCATACAGTAGAATAGAGGACCATCTGTTGCCTTCATACAGGAGAATAGAGGACTATCTGCTGCCATCATCCGGTAGAATAGAGGACCACATGTTGCCTTCATACAGGACAATAGAGGACTATCTGTTGTCCCCATACATTAGAATAGAGGACCATCTGCTGCCCCCATACAGTAAAATAGAAGACAATCTGTAGCCCCCATACAGTAAAATAGAGGACCATCTGTAGCCCCCATACAGTAAAATAGAGGACAATCTGTAGACCCCATACAGTAAAATAGAGGACAAACTGTAGCCCCCATACAGTAGAATAGAGGACCATCTGTAGCCCCCATACAGTAGAATAGAGGACCATATGTAGCCCCCATACAGTAGAATAGAGAACCATCTGTAGCCCCCATACAGTAGAATAGAGGACCACCTGTAGCCCCCATACAGTAGAATAGAGAACCATCTGTAGCCCCCATACAGTAGAATAGAGGACCACCTGTAGCCCCCATACAGTAGAATAGAGGACAATCTGTAGCCCCCATAGAGTAGAATAGAGGACCATCTGTAGCCCCAATGCAGTAACATAGAGGACAATCTGTAGACCCCATACAGTAAAATAGAGGAAAATCTGTAGCCCCCATACAGTAGAATAGAGGACCACCTGTAGCCCCCATACAGTAGGATAGAGGACAATCTGTAGCCCCCATACAGTAGAATAGAGGACCATCTGTAGCCCCATACAGTAGAATAGAGGACCATCTGTAGCCCCAATACAGTAGAATAAAGGACAATCTGTAGCCCCCATACAGTAGAATAGAGGACAATCTGTAGCCCCCATACAATAAAATAGAGGACAATCTGTAGCCCCCATACAGTGAAATAGAGGACAATCTGTAGCCCTCATACAGTAAAATAGAGGACAATCTGTAGCCCCCATACAGTAGAATAGAGGACCATCTGTAGCCTCCATACAGTAGAATAGAGGACCATCTGTAGCCCCCATACAGTAGAATAGAGGACCATCTGTAGCCCCCATACAGTAGAATAGAGGACCATCTGTAGCCCCCATACAGTAGAATAGAGGACAATCTGCAGCCCCCATACAGTAGAATAGAGGACCATCTGTAGCCCCCATACAGTAGAATAGAGGACCATCTGTAGCCCCCATACAGTAGAATAGAGGACCATCTGTAGCCCCCATACAGTAGAATAGAGGACAATCTGTAGCCCCCATACAGTAGAATAGAGGACAATCTGTAGCCCCCATACAGTAGAATAGAGGACAATCTGTAGCCCCCATACAGTAGAATAGAGGACCATCTGTAGCCCCCATACAGTAGAATAGAGGACCATCTGTTGTATTCCTACTGTACAACAATACAGAAGACCATATGCAGCCCTCATACAGCAGAATAGTGGACCAGACGAATATAGATCGTTATAATGATGAGTGGTCGACGTGCTCGGGGTCATTGAGACTCAATCAATCAAGTCACAGAGTCTATTCACCCGATTAACTACGTCACCTCTATACAAGCATACCCGTTGCTTCCTGTGTAATCCTTATGGGGCATAAGAAATGTAGCGATTATTCGTTCTTATAGGAACTACAACATCACAAAGTTGTGTGATTGTGAGGCAGACAATGGACACACCAAGAAGAGTCAGCAATAGCGAAGGCCCTCACGACTCTGAATGACCTGATCCGGCGAGATTGAAATGCTTAATAACAGCAGAGTAACCTATTGGTGTCAAAACTGCTTGACCTGTCAGTAGGCTTGAGTTTTAATTCATTATTTCAGAGGTTAACTTTACCTCGGCGGCTTGATCCTCAACATGCGCTACCCCTTAACCCTGAAAGGCCTCGCATACCTTTCATTCACTCACATATCCATTGGCACACATGATACCTAACCTCATTGTGCAGGTTTGGGGTTTCGACATCCGGCTAAACACTGCGTCAGTGTTTGATAAGAATCAAACAGCCATGACCACAGACCAGCCCAGTGAAGCACTTCCCATGTAAGTATACTGTTGATGGATCCAATATTGCAATCGCATGTGATACCCGTTGATACAATAATGCCCCTTGAATACACCCGTATGGTGACTTGTTATTCAAGATGTTGCGAGACACACAAGACAAGATCCCCGCCACTGACATCAGATACTGTGACCTTGATTAAGGACACAGACATAACATTGTTTTACACACCAGTTGTTTTTCAATACTGCGTTGTGTAGCCATAATGATAATCTCAATATGCCAATGTAATATAACAGGGCACTAAATGTTTTGTTGCAGTTTACACTGGTGAACCCGAATGTGTGTATGGTTCACGCTTGGATGCTTGTTCATCTTATATGTGTGGCCTACTTTCATTCTGTGTGCGGTCATTGGGGAATTTCCTTGACTGGTGTATTTGCTGGTCTTATTTAGTTCAGCCAAGTTGGTCTGTGTGTGCTTTTGTTTCATTCGGTCATCGTATAATTGTGCAGTGTCACCGCCAGTGTGATTTATGACTGTCAACACGTGGGCTGATGCGTCGTTCCGCTACGCTGGTTATACATTGTGATGACCTTGGACGTGGTGGTGTTTTTATCGTTGTGTAATATATTCAAATGGTATAACTTTGGCTGTGGAAAATAGCTTTGGTATCTAGACTAACATCTAGTCTCTGAAATGAACCCATCTTACATAAAAAAAACAGTTGTTCAGTTATCTTAATAAAAATATAATAAAAAGGAGCCCAGTGACTCTCTTCATTTCCTGATACTGCAGTGATCTAGACTTGCCGAACATTATAGACTTCCATGGGCTGTATTTGATCTATATTTGTATCAGGGTCTGTAAGACAGACTACTTTGGTATCGTGCAAGTTATGTATTGTTTTATAAGATAGGTAGGCGATAATTCGCAAAGAACAATGACGAACGAAGCGTGGCATATTTCACGACAAAATATTGTTCTATAATGACGTCATTTCTGGAGATTCGAACATGCGCTCGCAACTTGATGACGTCGTATATATGACGACGTTATTTTTAGAGGGGAGTGTCTGGTAATTTGTTGCTGGGTACCGCAAATGACCGCAATGGCCGAACGATCGCATCCCAACGCGAGGGAGATATTACAATCGGGATTGGGAGAAAAGGCACAGGTTATCGACGTGATGATTGTGAGAATATGCGGAAATACCCACCTGTGCATTAAACGGACATTACCGAGGTTGGATTCTATTGAGGAAGTCATCATGATGTTAAAAGGGGTAAATATAATTAAAGCTTGTACATAACAGGCTGTACATAATGTTGATATATCATATAAGAAATAAATGACTCATGGTTTATTCGCCCTGCAGTGTTTTATTGTACGATAAACAACTCCCACTCGTCGTTTACTTCTTAAATAACATGGGACGTGGTGGGGAAGTACATGCAGCTTGGACCCGTGAAGATCCGGGGTAGAATAGATCTTCAGCAACCCATGCTTGCCGTAAAAGGCGACTATGCTTGTCGTAAAGAGGCGACTAACGGGATCGGGTGGTCAGGCTCGCTGACTTGGTTGAAGCATGTCATCGTATCCCAATTGCGTGGATCGATGCTCATGATATCAATCACTGGATTGTCTGGTCCAGATTCGATTATTTACAGACCGCCGTCATATAGCTGGATTATTGCTGAGTGCGGCGTAAAACAACCAACCAACCAACCAACCAATATGTAGCTTGGTTCTCGCAAGGGTGACTTGCCGCCAGTCTATGTAACCCAAATCTCCCCTGGGTTCACGCTGAGTGGCACTTCTTTAATTTTGTTGTTCCCGACACACAGCAAATAGGAGTCCCCCTACTCTTGTATCGAAGTGTTATACATTGGTATAACTTTGGAGTTGTGGTAAATAGCTTTGGTATCTTGCAAGTTATATATTGTTATAACCTGGGGCGTGGTGGGAAGGAGATGCGTTGTGTTACATATATCTCTGTAATGTCAAGGTAAACATGGGTCGTGACGAGGCGTCTTCATGAATTTGTTTATAGTGATATATACGTTAAGATGCTTGATTGGTTCAGGTGACAGTAATGGATGGTCCGGGTTAGAATAATTATTGGTCTTCAGCAATCCATGCTTGACGTAAGAGGCGACTAACAGGATCGGGTGGTCAGGCTTAAGGCATGTCATTATAGTCCAGTTGCGTTGATCGATGCGTATGATTTCAATCATTGGATTGCCTGGTCCATCCCCGATTATTTACACGCCGCAGTCATACAGCTGCAACAGTGCAGAGTTTAACAGCAGCCACACAAAGGATGCGACATACAGGAAACAAATCATTTGGTTCGATACACAAAGCAAAGTGGAATTGCGAGTGTGTTAATTACGTAACTGTAACACCTTTAAAGATGAGCTTCAGTTTATGACTTGCAATGCTTTAAATGCCATTTCGAAAATATATTTGTCAAACATTTTAGTTTTACTTATCGTGTAAATATTTTGAGCTGACTTCCTCTGATCCATGTGCAATACAAAATCTTGCAATAACTAACCATGCAATATTTCTGAAACAATGTAATCGGAATAACTCAACATGTATTACCATTTATGTAATTGACAATGGCCTCCTCGCATTTCTTGAATAAAGTTCTTTAATTTAAAATACATGTTTGCTTTAATAATTTGTTTCACATTACCAACGAGGACAATGGCAATGATACCATGTGATGTATTCCAGCGTCCACGAGCTGAGAAACCCTAAGGGTCATGGCTTTGACTGCATGGTGTTTGACGGCCTGTACCTGTTTGTCCCACCGCCTTTTATGCTGAAGGGCGAAACTGCTGAAAAGAGGCTTCAGAGTATACAAGAGATTGAGCTGAATGACGATGATGTCATTATCTGTGCGTATCCAAAATGTGGTGAGTGGAGAAACCTAGACAAAGTGGGTTCGCTTCTTGTTCTGTAGACATGTGATTTGTCATCTGATCTTATTTGAACGCATGTACCTGTTGCAGGCACTCATTGGTTGTGGGAAGTCGTGGAGATGCTCAGAAGTGGGGTCATTGAGTACAGAAAGGAAGTTAAGGAAACTCAGGAGTTCGAAATCATTTACAAAGAAGGAACAGACGCACTGCCGGCTCCTCGAACCCTGAACACACACCTCCCTCTGCGCATGCTCCCCAAACAGGTCGTGGAGAAGAAGGTCAAGTGTATCAAGATCATACGCAATCCTAAAGATGTCTGTGTGTCCTTTTTCAATCAGTACAGAGACACTGTAGCACCTGCCGGCTTTGAAGGAGACCTAGAAGAATTTACGGAACTATTTTTGTACGGAAAAAGTAAGTATTGAATCTATATACGTTTAACAAATTCAACTGGTTTATCTAACAGGAGTTAGATGTATAGTGAATTTAAGACCTACCGTAACGTTACACAAACATGTCAGTTAACATTAATGTGAGTGAGAAACGTTAAAGGATCATTTCAGTGATATCATAGCGGCCTGTTATTATTTGAGTCCGCGACAGACAAACCAATGCTTCATGGCACAAAAACGATCCACGCCTTCAGGCATGACGACCACAGTCTGATTACCCAATCCCCGGTTTTGTCAGCTTTTGCGACGAGCTGGCGTGTTGGCGTTCTCATGAACACTACTTTTCATGCAAGTAATATATAGTTCCCTGTCCGTAATATAGTAATATTGTAATTTGTCCGTGTCTAAGGAAATGTAGCTTAATGTTATCTATTTTCTAGTATGTTTTGGGGCCTACTCTGATTATCTCCTGACATGGAAAGCAGAATTGGCCAGATCGCCAGGACTACCTGTGCTTGAGATGTTCTACGAGGAGATGAAAATGGTGAGTTCTCTTGTTGTCTTAAATTAAAGAGAGTGGTGGGAGGTTGTCGTCAAATATAAAGTGCTACAGGTCGGTGTGCCGGAAGCCTATGAACATGGGTTCGAATCCCAGTTCGCCCTGATTATATTGCTATTATTGTCACTATCATACCCGTGTTCGTTGGCTTTGCCAAACTGGTAATGATCTACGACCTGCATCGCTTGGGGCTTTCCTCCCAAATGAATTTGTCACACAGTCATAAAACTGAAATATTGTTCAAAGCGGCGTTATACGCAACAGACTAAAACAGATCAAGTGTCCTAAAGTGACACTACATGCTATTGGGGGCACGGGTGGCTCAGTCGTCTAAGGCGCCGCGATTCGCTGTGCAGAGTTGCGTCCCTTGGCATGCCAGAAACCTATGATTGTGGGTTCGAATCCCGGTTCGCCTCGTTTCTAGGTTTGTCAGCACCATGCCCATGCTCGTGGGTTTCATCGAAGTGGTAAACGTCTGAGACCTGCATCACTTCGGGCTTTCCTCCCACAATAGGCTGCCACACCGTGATATAACTCCCTCACTCACTCATTAATGATTCACCACTATAGCATATATACCCACGTAATACTGTTAAAAGCGGCGTTAAACCCAACTGACTCACTCACTACATCCTATGCTGGTGACGCAGAACTTTGTGAATATTGACTCCAGTAGTCAGAGAGTAGGTGATCAAATACCAACACGTCTCAGTATTTTGGTATTTGGGGACATGCATGTTGTGAAGGTGAGGTTTATGCAACACTCTCGATGGAGATCAATTGGATGTGTGACTCCCTGTAGTGTATCATAAGTAATTAATGTTGCTCGAAATGTATCACTGCTCACCCAGTAGCAAACGAGTACCCGATAGGGTGGCAATGTGATTGCCAACAGTACAACGCCATTTCAGAGCTGAGATTGAATCTTGAATAACGTCATGAACAATGAGGATGCACCTCTGATATGCTTGACCTACAGTCTAACAAAGGCAAAATAGATACACATTTTTTTAATGTGGACTCACCTGCATATCAGCCTTTTAATCAATATTCTTATTTCTACTATATCTGGCTGGGCGGACTGTGTGTTTGTGATTGGTGATGGTAGAGGGGCTGAGGCCGCACAATATTTTTATGATGCGATCTAGAGTTACAACCTTTTATTATACAAAGATCCGCTAATTATGAGTTTGAATTCGGTCAGAATGTGGTCCATGGTTTGGCAGCTTTTGTTTCCATGCAAGAAGGTTTCAACAAAGTGGGAAACGTCAACGACATGTGGCGCTGTGTCAATATTAACTGCATAAGCTCTTACGCTCTGCATAAAGATCTCACACTCAGCATAAAGCTCTCACACTCTGCATAAAGATCTCACACTCTGCATACAGCTCTCACACTCTGCATAAGGATCTCTGACTCTGCACAAAGATCTCACACTCTGCATAAAGCTCTCACTCTCTGCTTCCAGGACCCTGTCAAGAGTGTTAAAAACGTTGCCAGATTTCTGGGCCTGACGTCTACAGACCAGTTCTGTGAAGACGTTGCGTTTGCTTGTTCCTTTAAGAAGATGAAACAACTAGACAAGGAAGCGAAAGAGGAATATGCTGTAGCGAAGTTCTGGAAAGAGGGATCTGTTGGCTTTTACAGAAAAGGTGTGTTCATTTCCTGTCGAGATAGTGGTCTCTAAGAAGCTTTAGTTAAGTCCTGTAACTCGATATATCGTTCATGGCGACATTGCTCTGTGCTCCCCTAAGAACTCTCATCGGCACTATGTATTATTTCATGGTTCCCGAGCACTTCCAGTTAACCAGTGGACTATGACGAGTTTAAACTTTAGCTCGTCACACAGAAGATCCGGGTTAGATTCCCCATGATAAAACAATTTGTGGAATATAATGAAGGAAAGGAAAGGGATCTGTTTGAAACACATGTTTGCAACACAAGTACAGTTCTTTTTTTCATGGGGGCTTTGTAGTCTAAGCGTTCGTTTTGTCACGTCGATGACCCGGGTTCGAATCCCCCCATGTCTATCCCTGCCATGATATTGCTCGGTGATTGCTAAAAGCGAAGTAAAACTAAACTGACTCACTCACCCTTCGTTTCAGGGGAAGTTGGGGACTGGAAGAACTGGTACACTGTGTCTGAAAGCGAAAAGTTTGACCGGATTTGGAATGACCAAATGAAGGATTCTGGCATTAAATTTACATATGCATGACAGTATTACTGAATCCGTATAGAATTTCAAGTATATTATTTAGAAATTGTAATTCCATGTACAGGTAGCATTTGCAGTAATGTGTGTAAAGTCGGACATACGAGGTCACTGAAACTTGCAAATATACTCTTAAAAAAAAGTAACTCAAAGCCAGATTTCTGTGAGGTAGGGAAATATATTTTTACGAGGAACCATACACGGCATTAAGCCAAAATGTTATAGAGAGAACACTTGGTGATTGTAGTAGTCTCAGTTATCGGTACATAGGAGAAGTCAAAGGTGAAGGTCAGCTACCATCAATAACGCGTATGTCCCCCGTTGGAGTCGATAGCTGTCTGACATCTCCTACCAATGGAAGAAACGAGTATGCGAATCACTTCCTGGGGATGGTGTCCCACTCGGCCTGCAACGCAAAAAACAACTGCTGCAACGTCTGGGGTTGTGGTTGACGACGGCGTAGCGGTCTATCTAATTCATCCCACATGTGCTCTATCGGCTTCAAATCCGGGGATCTGGAGGGCCAGGGGAGAACATCAACGTTGTTGTTGTGTAGACAGGCTCTTGTGATCCGTGCTGTATTCGGTCGAGCGTGGTCCTGCTTGAATACAACGTTGCCGGTGGCTGCAAATGGAAGGACGTGTTGAAGGGGAATTTTGTTGATGTATCGTTGAGCCGTAAGGTTGCCACGGATATGGACCAAACCTGTCCTGCCATGGTGAGAGATAGCTGCCCACATCATAACGCTACCCCCACCACACTGTCCACTTCTTGTACGCAGTTACCCACGTAACGTTCTCCTTGACGTCTGTAGATCCGTGCTTGCTCGTAGACCCGCTGCTCTAAACGGTTTCGTACGGTCTGGTCGGAGTCCTAGTATTTGGGATGCGGTTGAAGTGGCTATGGTCGTCCTTGTACGTAGGTGGCGCAGTCGGATGTAGCAATCTTGGGCGGGGGTAGTTGCTCTTGGTCGTACCGACCTTGGCCGATCATGTGTTAACCCATAGTGTTGAAACCGATCCCATAGCCTTGTGATGGTGCTGGGCGCTACATTGAAAACCCTGGCTACAGCTGATCGGCATTCCCCTACCTGCAAGCGGCCTATGACGTTGTTGCTTTGCACTTCAGTTAATCTTGGCATGCTGTTGAACTGTCACTCCTCGATTGACGCAGATGCCAACAATCAAACGCCCTGAACTTTAAAACCGTTCATAGTGCTGCTGCACGTGCAGTACGTGCAGCGCCATGACCCTGATGTTAATGCACTGGGTGCATTTTTCCGAATCATACGTGTTTCCCAACGGTTTGCATGTCCTTGATGTGATCATTTTGATCCGGGAAATTTGTCACTGACACTATAACACATTAAACCTCTTCATTTCGCACCTCTTGGTCCGCCACTTTTGCTTTTATGGCCAAACATATCCGTATTGCGTTTCTTTTTTGGAAGAGTATATCACTATCAGTTCAAGACACCGTCTATGCCCATAGGGCGACATGCATGTGCCTCATAAATACCCTCGTTATCACAATACCTGTGTGTAGAGTTGTCCGTCGTCCAAAATAAGCTGAGTGTAATTCCAGTATCAGGGGACCAATAGGTAACGTCGGCTTCAACAGCATGTCGACTTTAAGAGTTATAACTGGAATCAGTAGTATACAGGGAAGTACCCACGTGTTATACGTGCCAACTGACATCACTGTGTTTACGCAAACGCTGCTAAAAGTAGAGTCGATTTTATGACTATATCATAAGAATGTATCTATGAATCACTATCAAATAGAGATTATACCAGTTGTTAGCAAAAAGGTGAGCGTATTCTGCCCCACTAGTGGCATCCGTCACAAACACATACAAAGGCAAGTCAATTGCTCAAAGAAACACATGGTAAAGTCAAACGTTGTGAAAGCCGTCTATAGCATTTCACATATTTTCTGTAAAAAACGCTCAGAGATCAACGTCTAACTTCCATGTGTACGCTGCAAACGAGGAATGGCGCCAAGCGAAGTTGCCAGACTTTTTTATGTTTATCGGAATACAATGTCATCTCTCTGGAGAAGTTATCCACAGCAGGGCAACACCCATGACTTGCTAAAGTGTGACGGCATGTCAAAGACAGCCATATTCGGTTGGTGCATCTACGGAATCGATACCACATTAACAGTTTGGACAATTCCGGGGTTGAGATCAATTAGTGGCAGAACAGTTCACAAACGGTGGAGGGGGCACAAGTTTTGCTTTCAGGTCATCGTGAGGCACGCCCATCTGGTATCGTTGCTGCCTCGCCTGTATCAACGCAAATGGTGGTCACAACCGATATTGAATTGGTTTATTGAGTTGTGACACCATTCGTCTTTTAGGGCCTATCGCTCTGTCTCCTGTTACCAGATATGGGTTTTGTCAATGAATTTGTTATGATTAAACATCGATCAGACTAATGATCAAATATCATAAAATTTACACCACGTTACATAACATTTACACCAATTTACATAACATTTACATCACTTTACATAACATTTACATAACATTTACCCCACTTTTCATAACATTTACATCACTTTACATAACATTTACCCCACTTTTACATAACATTTACATAACATTTACCCCACTTTTCATAACATTTACATCACTTTACATAACATTTACCCCACTTTTACATAACATTTACACAACATTTACCCCATTTTTCATAACATTTACATCACTTTACATAACATTTACACCACTTTATATGAAGCACAATTACTTTTTCCTTCAGTACAATCATCACATGTCGATAAGGAAAACGTACGTAAATGTATATTCTTTATTGATGATTTTGTTTATAAATAAAGACAACATTCACATGGGTGAAATGTTCTTATATAACTTGAAATTGAATGCATAGATCCACATTCTATTCACAGAGGCCTACAGATATGAGCAATACATGTATTTTATTTAAGAATAGCGTTTGCTGAACCCCATGTGTGCGGTGAAATGACGAGCTCAAAAAAATGTTCAAAATGCGGTGACATCAGTCCCGTCAAGTAGCATTAAGCACAATCCATGTATTACAGGCCTGTAGGGGTTCCGGGTCCTAATAAATCCCCAGCACAGTGCTGATCAGGAGTTGCTCATGTTTCTACCATCGTATCCCACTGAGTGGGACATCGATCATGCTATCAACCTTGTCCAGATTAGATTTTACAGGCGGCGGTAATACAGCTGTGATATTGCTGACTGCGACATCAAACACAAAATGCAATTAATGTCTCCAACACTGAAGAAGAACAGTTAAACGTGATAGAAGTAAACCAAGACATATGACTTTATACTCATGGTAAAGGAACAGTAGCGAGAGCAGGTGTTTGTGAAACGGGAGAGTTACCATTGCGCATCCAACACGGCCAGTCAGTCAGAGCTGACAGTACTATTTCCCTTTGTACGGTTGACTGCATGCACACCCGATCACCACAAGTCACACGGCCAGTCAATCAAAGCTGATAGTACTATTTCCCTTTGTAAGGTTGACTGCATGCACACCCGATCACCACAAGTCACCCTGCCAGTCAGTCAGAGCTGACAGTACTATTTCCCTTTGTAAGGTTGACTGCATGCACACCGATCACCACAAGTCACACGGCCAGTCAGTCAGGGCTGACAGTACTATTTCCCTTTGTAAGGTTGACTGCAAGCACACCCGATCACCACAAGTCACACGGCCAGTCAGTCAGAGCTGACAGTACTATTTCCCTTTGTAAGGTTGACTGCATGCACACCGATCACCACAAGTCACACGGCCAGTCAGTCAGGGCTGACAGTACTATTTTCCTTTGTAAGGTTGACTGCATGCACACAGATCACCATAAGTCACACGGCCAGTCTGTCAGGGCTGACAGTACTATTTCCCTTTGTAAGGTTGACTGCATGCACATCCAATCACCACAAGTCACACGGCCAGTCAGTCAGGGCTTACAGTTCTATTCCCCTTTGTAAGGTTGACTGCATGCACACCCGATCACCACAAGTCACACGGCCAGTCAGTCAGAGCTGACAGTACTATTTCCCTTTGTAAGGCTGACTGCATGCACACCGATCACCAGAAGTCACACGGCCAGTCAGTCAGGGCTGACAGTACTGTTTCCCTTTGTAAGGTTGACTGCATGCACACAGATCACCACAAATCACACGACCAGTCAGTCAGAGCTGACAGTACTATTTCCCTTCGAAAGCTTGACTGCATGCACACCCGATCACCACAAGTCACACGGCCAGTCAGTCAGAGCTGACAGTACTATTTCCCTTTGTAAGGTTGACTGCATGCACACCGATCACCACAAGTCACACGGCCAGTCAGTCAGGGCTGACAGTACTATTTTCCTTTGTAAGGTTGACTGCATGCACACAGATCACCATAAGTCACACGGCCAGTCTGTCAGGGCTGACAGTACTATTTCCCTTTGTAAGGTTGACTGCATGCACATCCAATCACCACAAGTCACACGGCCAGTCAGTCAGGGCTGACAGTTCTATTCCCCTTTGTAAGGTTGACTGCATGCACACCCGATCACCACAAGTCACACGGCCAGTCAGTCAGACCTGACAGTTCTATTTCCCTTTGTATGGTTGACTGCAAGCACACCGATCACCACAAGTCACACGGCCAGTCAGTCAGAGCTGACAGTACTATTTCCCTTTGTAAGGTTGACTGCATGCACACAGATCACCACAAGTCACACGGCCAGTCAGTCAGAGCTGACAGTACTATTTCCCTTTGTAAGGTTGACTGCATGCACACCGATCACCACAAGTCACACGGCCAGTCAGTCATAGCTGACAGTACTATTTCCCTTTGTAAGGTTGACTGCATGCACACCCGATCACCACAAGTCACACGGCCAGTCAGTCAGACCTGACAGTTCTATTTCCCTTTGTATGGTTGACTGCAAGCACACAGATCACCACAAGTCACACGGCCAGTCAGTCAGAGCTGACAGTACTATTTCCCTTTGTAAGGTTGACTGCATGCACACAGATCACCACAAGTCACACGGCCAGTCAGTCAGAGCTGACAGTACTATTTCCCTTTGTAAGGTTGACTGCATGCACACCGATCACCACAAGTCACACGGCCAGTCAGTCATAGCTGACAGTACTATTTCCCTTTGTAAGGTTGACTGCATGCACACCCGATCACCACAAGTCACACGGCCAGTCAGTCAGAGCTGACAGTACTATTCCCCTTTGTAAGGTTGACTGCAAGCACACCGATCACCACAAGTCACACGGCCAGTCAGTCAGGGCTGACAGTACTATTTCCCTTTGTATGGTTGACTGTATGCACACCCGATCACCACAAGTCACATGGCCAGTCAGTCAGAGCTGACAGTACTATTTCCCTTTGTAAGGTTGACTGCATGCACACCGATCACCACAAGTCACACGGCCAGTCTGTCAGGGCTGACAGTACTATTTCCCTTTGTAAGGTTGACTGCATGCACACCCGATCACCACAAGTCACAGGGCACCGCAGTACAGCATGTGAGAATATACCAAGCGGTAGAAACCAGTGGTAGAACCCTTGATGTAACAAATACTCTAAATGTAAAAGAAATTACATTAAAAGTTGCGGGTTAACCCTTGTTACAACTCTTAATGTAAAAATTACTCTTAATGTAAATTTCTGTACGAAAGGGTTGAAGTGACAGATTATATTTAGTTTAAATTTAGGGTTATCGCTGTCAGATAATACTAGTCGGACCTTCATGAAACTTCACAGATTTAATTGATCGTAACTTTGTCCAGATATGCAAATGACTAATCATCTTTAGATTCCCTTTCAACGACCACCTGGTTGCTATAAATAGTCCCGGACAAGTTTTCAAAAAATAATTACGCATCAGATTTTAGGTTCATAGTTTTAATTTTTTTTAAATATCTGGTCTTGCAGCTGTAGCTGCTCTTGGATTTCTGATTAATTTACTGGAACTTGTGCTGACCTTGGGCACTTATATGTATGGGAAAATTGGGTCTTAAATTGGGTTAATAACCTACATTTCGACCAATCCGAGGACTCTATTCCGTTGCTATTGTAATAAAATGTGCTTTGTGTGCAAAAATTGTATAAATATATTTGAACGAATTTCGAATAAGCAGATGCCTCGGTTACATTGTCAAGGTTATAAAACTTGTTCGGCTGGGTCCTTAAATACATGGTACCTAAATACCAAATTTGAACGAAATTTCTAAAAATTAATCAATTAGGTCTGCAGATGCCCTTTCCGCTGTCATGGAAGCAAGGTAGTAACGTAACGTATTCCATGGTGTCCCTAGATACACCTTTGTACCAAGATTCAACAAAATCACAAATGACATGTTACCAGTAAGATACTTAAAAAGAAAACCTGTAAATACCGACCAGGTTAACCAAAGTTAACCAGAAGAATAGATTATATTATGAATAATTAAAAGAAGCCGAGCAAAAACAATGAAAAATGTAAAAATAGCAAAAGCTACCCTATATTTCCAATCAAACTTTGTTTATAAGAATCTTTGACAATAAATGGGGATATGTACGATATTAACACTTAATGGAATAATATTGTTTACATAAAGGCTTGCGGGTTGTTACTCTGAATGAAAAAAATAATTACAGTAACAGTTAACACGTAACCCTTTATGTTTTATTCTTTACATTTAGAGTATTTTTTACATTAACGGTTGTAGCAAAGCCAGTTTTTCTTTGTATACAATATTATGTACTGAATAATTAAAACCTGACAGAAATTGCTTTCCTAAAAAATCCTAACTTCTCTGCAAATAGTCATATTCCTACTCCCTGGGGACACGGGGCAGTACTGTATGAGTCCCCAGCACCCCATGCTGGTCGTAAGAGGAGACCGAATTGGGCAACCCGATTGCCGAGGGTTGCGCCCCTGTGTCGGCGGAGGAAGGGATTCTGGTAGTTGAGGGCACTGGCACCTTTTGCCTAACACACTACTTTGACCCTAACTTCACCTGGACGGGTGGTAGAATGGGCCAAGCTCTATCAATCGGCTGGTCATGCCATGCCCTGAGCTGTGAAGCTTGTGTTTTGAAAACAGTCCATACTACACTATTTCATACATGAAAATAATAAGCAACATTTTCTTGTATAATTTTGTCTATGCCAGAAGGCGATGGCACATGGGCCAATCTGGCATTTTAGACCTGCAGGTTCTGTTTGTCTTCAGGTAACTGTCAAGGGCCGATTCAAGGCTGACCTTTATTCTGTTGGCAGAAATAGCTACCTGGGTCTGCTTTGCTTGAGTATAGCACCCTTGTAACCCTGATGCTTGAAGTCGGTTCCCACTACAACATCGTCCTTGTTGACACTCGATGGCGGGTGGGAGCAGGGATGTCGAATCTCCATTCTTTAAACATATCTACCCCACAATACACTGGTTCTCGTTCAAATAACAAAAGAAGAAATGTAGAAAAAGATACTGTTTCATCATCTAATGATGAAAGTACTGGACAAAATCCAGATTCATGGCCAGATTCTGGTCGTTAGTTTAACGCTGATTGGAAAAGTATTTCAGTCACATCACGGTGTGCTCTGTTTACACGTGCACATGTTATATTCATACGCTCTTCGCTCGGTTAGACATGGCGGAAGTATGTTGATCTGGTAATAAGTAGAATACAAATTACGTTCACGTTTCACATCAAGGTTAAGCTCGGAACTTGTAAAGACGATTCTCCTCAGGACATGAACTTTATATCAACGAGTCCCGTATCGTATAATTAATTCCAAGAAAGCAGTTACATCACGGTGTGTCAACTCGATGGAGGACAGTCCGATTTGATACAGGCCTAAGAGTTAGTGAGTGAATGAGCTGGGTTTAACACGCCTTTGAAGAGTATACCTGTTGTATCACGGCCGTCAGCTTAATGTAGGAGGATGCATGTCGTATCACGGCCGTCAGCTTAATGTGGGAGGATGCCTGTCGTAGACGTTTTCCACTTTGGTGAAACAGGTATGGTGCTGACAAACCTAGAAACACAATCAGGACGAACCGGGATTCGAACCCACGATCACGGGTTTCAGGCGTGACCAAAGGTCTAAACTCTGCACATCGA